TTTTTAGTAGAGATGGGGTTTCACCATGTTGGCCAGGGTGGTGTTGAACTCTTGACCTCAGGTGATCTGCCCGCCTCAGCCTCCCAAAGTGCTGGGGTTACAGACATGAGCCGCCGCGCCCAGCCAGAGTGTTTTTCTCAATGGGATTCTGGTGCTGACACAGTCTCCGCTCTTCTCTGTACTCCTGCATTGGTGGTTGAAAGTGGAACACATTTTTGTTGTTGTTCTGTCAGACCAGCTGCTTTTGGGTGATGGGTATGTGGGGAAACCATTGGCTTCCAGGGGCATGAGCCCATTGCTTTACTTCTTTTATTTTTATTTTTTGAGACATGGCCCTTGCTCTGTCACCAGGCTGGAGTGCAGTGGCACGACCACAGCTCACTGTAGACCTGCCAGGGCTCAGGCGATCCTCTCACCTCAGCCTCCCACGTAGCTGGGACCACACACAGGTGCACACCACTACGCCTGGGTAATTTTTGTATTTTTTTTTTTTTTTTTTGTAGAGACGGGGTCTCACTATGTTGCCCAGGCTGGTCTCGGCTTCCCAAAGTGCTGGGATTATAGATATGAGCCACTGTGCCTGGCCCAAAAGTGGAGCGAAGTTTTAAAGAGTGACAAGAAGATGTCCAAGATAAAGCATGAGGTAGAAAAAGCAATTGCAGAACAATATGTATAGTGTGACTATATTTCTGCACACACAATTAGGACAAAACATGGAGAATGTGAACCAAACTGGTCCCGGTATTTTGCTCTGGGTTGATGGATTATAGGGGATTTTCACTTTCTCACACATTTTTGTAAAGTTTGAAATGTTTGCACCACACACATTCTTTTGTAATCAGGAAAGACGATGACGGGCTGGGTACGGTGGCTCATGCCTGTAATCTGAGCATTTTGGGAGGCTGAGGCAGACAGATTGCTTGAGTCCAGGAATTCAAGACCCAGCCTGGGCAACATGGTGAAACCGCATCTCTACAAAAAAAAAAAAAAAAAAAAAAAAATACAAAAATTAGCCGGGCATGGTGGTGTGCCTGTAGTCCTGGCTACTGGGGAGGCTGAGATGGGAGTATGGCTTGAGCCCAGAAAGTGGAGGCTGCAGTGAGCCGAGATCGCACCACTGCACTCCAGTCTGGGCGACAGAGCAAGACCCTATGAAGAAAGAAAAGAAAAAAGAAAAAAAGGAGAGAAGAGGAGGGAAAGAAAAGGAAGGAAGGAAGAAAAGCAAGAAAAAAAGAAAGGAAGAAAAATGATGACAATTAAAACAGACAAGCCAAAACAAGAGGCCCAAGATTCCAGGAGTTTAACCAAATGTCCAGATGAGACCCTGAATTTGTATGTAAAGCAAGTCAGTGTTGATAACGTTCCTTGTCTTCCTTGCTAATTTGTAAACTGCATGAAGTCAAGGACCCTGATTGCCTTAGATACTTCTGTAGTCCCGGAATTTAGACAACGTGGTGTTGTGCTTAGCCAGGGGCCAGCAAACTGGAAACTACTGGAAAATAGAATACATATTTTAGGTTTTTTGGGCCAAGAGGCAAAATGAAAGATATCACGTAAGTACTTACTTTTTAAATGTTTATATTTTTTTAAGACAGGGCCCTGCTATGTTGCCCAGGATGGTCTTGAACTCCAGGACTCAAGCAATCCTCCTGCCTCAGCCTCCCAAAGTGTTGGGAATACAGATGTAAGTCACCATACCTGTCATAGGTACCTATATGACAAGAAAGGAAACCAGTTTCCACAGATTGATTGATTGATTGATTGATTTTGAGATGGAGTCTTGCTCTGTTGCTCAGGCTGGAGTGCAGTGGTGTGGTCTCAGCTCACTGCAACCTCTGCCTCCTGGGTTCAAGCGATTGTCCTGCCTCAGTTTCCTGAATAGCTGGGATTACAGGCACCCATTACCATGCCTGGATAATTTTTAAATTTTTAGTAGAGACAGGGTTTCACCATGTTGGCCAGGCTGGTCTTGAACTCCTGACCTCAACTGATCCATCTGCCTCAGTCTCCCAAAGTGCTGGGATTACAGGTGTGAGCCACAGCACCCGCCCGATTTCCACAGTTTTTTAATTGATGAAAGAAAAATGTTATAATAATTAAGTATAATTTTTTGGTAATACAGGTCTATTAATGAGAAGAACGGAATCTTTGGGGAGGGAGATAACATTTTGCCTAATTGAGGTTCACAGTTAGTGTTCTCGACCATCAAAATTAGTTGCAGGCTGGGCTCGGTGGCTCATGCCTGCAATCCCAGCACTTTGGGAGGCCAAGGCAGGTGGATCACTTGAAGTCAGGAGTTTGACATCAGCCTGGACAACATGGTGAAACCCCGTCTCTACTAAAAATATAAAAATTAGCCAGGCGTAGTGGTGCATGCCTGTAATCCCAGCTACTTGGGAGGCTGAGGCATGAGAATTGTTTAAACTCGGGAGACGGAGGTTGCAGTGAGCCAAGATTGTGCCACTACATTCCAGCCTGGGTGACAGAGCAAGTCTCTGTCTCAAGAAAAGCCCTCAGCCAAAGATCCTGAATCAACGTCCCAGAAGAAAAAGGTAGAAAGAAGACAGTAAAGCAGACTGTATTCCGGGCACCAGCACCAGGCATAGGGATTTCCTAGCCAGGCGGTGGCCATCTCCATGCCTCTGACCTCTGCTGACCTCTGCCCACCATGGGTGGGAACTAAACGGTTACCTTCCCTGGCTCTACAGAAGACGACAGCCAACTGCAGGGGTCCCTGTGCTGGCCAAGCCCGTGAGCCTGCGGGGAGGCTGGTCCGAGGAGAAAGTGGACCAGCTCCCATGACCTTACCCCACTCCCCCAACATGGGACACTTCGTATAGATGTGTACAGTATATGTACTTTTTTAAGTGACCTCATCTCCTTTCGCAGACCCCACATGCCCAAAGGCCTTGGGACTTCCCACCACCTTGCTCCACAGACCCAGCTAGGCCTGACCTGTGCCTTATTCCACATGCCGCTTGGTCTCCAGCTGATCCCGACGCTTTGTCTTCCTCTCATCAGTTCTTTTGGGGGTGTGTGTGTGTGTGTGTGTGTGTGTGTGTGTGTGTGTTTTTAATAACTCAAAAAAAAGAAAAGACTTCGAGGAAGAAAAAAAAAAACCCAAAAAATAGTTGAGAATGTCTGAGTTTTTTGTTAACCATTTAAAAATATAAAAACTATTTTATACTCACAGGCCTTCCAGGGCAGCTTGGCCAAGCTGGGCTCACCGGCTCTAGTTATTGGCTCCTGTGTTAAGCAATCAATCCATCATTTATTTATTTATGTATTTGTTTTTTGAAACAGGGTCTCACTGTCACCCAGACTGGAGTGTGGTGGTGCGATCTCGGCTCACTGCAACCTCCACCTCCTAGGCTCAAGTGATTCTCCTGTCTCAGCCTCCCAAGTAGCTGGGATTACGGGCGTGAGCCACTACCACCCGGCTAATTTTTATATTTTTAGTAGAGATGGGGGTTTCACCATGTTGGCCAGGTTGGTCTCGAACTCCTGACCTCAAACAATCCAACCGTCTCAGCCTCCCAAAGTGCTGGGATTACAGGCATGAGCCACTGCGCCCTGCAGTATTTATTTTAAAAGATGGGGTCTCACTATATCACCCAGGCTGGCCTTGAACTCCTGGGTTCAAGAGATCTTCCCGCCTTTGACCCCCACCTTGGACCCCCAAAGTGCTGAGATTACACGAGCCAGCACGCCTGGTGGCAATCCATTTTTAAATGAATGAAAAGGAGAAGAAAGGAAGGTAAATTTTCCATATGGGTGTATCCGTCACCAGACACACCAGGCTTCCTGACTGATCTGCAATGTGCGGAGTTAAGAGACTGTGGAAACACCCCAGCTGCTCCTAAATTTAAGACTGTGCCGCTTTGGAGGGGCAGAAAGCTCGCTGGGAGATGAATTAGCTTTGGAGAAGAAACCACTCTGTTGGCTGCTCCCTGTGGGTAAGTTGTGGGCTCCAAATGACAGCCTGGGACACTCGCCTGTTCCTGGCAAAAGCTCCGCCCACTGTTCTCAGCAAAAGGGGTCTGGTGGAGTTTGCTGCTGTCTCTTTCCAGGAGCAGGTTAAGCTCCAGTCCTTCCTCCTAAGCTGGCTGTTCTGGGTCTGCAGTCAGGTTGCTGTTCAGAGGATGTTTAGAAGGGTAAAGGTGGGCCTGCCTGCAGGCTGGCAGGCAAAACCAGGGCCCAGGACCCACTTCCCCACCCCACTCCTTTACCTTGTGGGAGAGACTAATGTAGCTGAGATGGGAAAGGCAGATGACACGCAGAGTGATCAGACCACACTTGGGCTTGTGCATTCCCAAGGCTTCCTTTCTAGTTCATGCAGGGCCGGCCTACAAGTCAGGTCCCACTCCAGCTCCGAGACAATGGAGGCCCCCAAAACCAATCTCATTTGGGTACTGAGATGCAGTTACCAGCTGAGTGAGGTGGCTCACGCCTGTAATCCCAGCACTTTGGGAGGCCAAGGCAGGCGGATCAGCTGAGGTCGAGTTCGAGATCAGCCTGGCCAATATGGTGAAACCCCGTCTCTACTAAAAATACAACAATGAGCCGGGTGTGGTGGTGCGCACCTGTAATCCCAGCTCCTCAGGAGGCTGAGGCAGGAGAATTGCTTGAACCCCAAAGGTGGAGGTTGCAGTGAGCCGAGATGGCGCCATTGCACTTCAGCCTGGGAGACAGAGCGAGACTCCGTCTCAAAAAAAAACAAAAAAAAAAACAACAACAACAAGAAAAAACAGTGACCCTTAGGGGGAGTTCTGGAGAAAGATCAGGACAGAAATAAGTCCTGTCCCTGGTCCTGTAAGAGCAGCTGGAAGCCACGCGAGAGCCCCATGACATTCGTTCAAGCCCCTCTTTCAGTCCTGGCACGGAAATTGCGACTGGAATCTGCTTCTAAGCGTCCCACCACATGACCCTGCTGGAGGGGACCGCTCCATCTTTCAATACCCTCGTTATTCCCTGCAGCTGAGGAAGTCGGAGACGGAACGCACATTTTAGTACAAGTGGTTTATTTCTCTTCCAGGTGAGGCCGCACATATATAAGCAAAGGTTCGCCTGCCTGGTTCCTTCAGGAAGTCCCCGAGGAATCTGTTTAGTTTCCATGCATTAAAAACAACCCTCTAGTTGCCAATAATGAAACTTTAAGAAGCAACACTTTGACGTCGCAGAGTTCCTCTCTGCATGTGACGCGGACATACCAAAGTGAGTTTATGGCATACAGTATGCATGGGTTAATGCAGGTGAGACAGGGAGTCCCGGCTGCCCTGCGGCCCCATTCCGTTGTGGAGGCTTCGCTGGGAGCTGAGAACACCCTGCTGTCTGTGTTGTGATGACAGGTGGTTCTTCCAAAACAGAAACACCAAGTCACCCCACGCCCCTGCTTCAGTGTGCGAGGCCGTGGGGCTCTGGTGTTGTGAACTCCAGGTTGGCAGGAGGTTGGAAGCACCAAAGACCCCAACTCTGGTCCCTCAACAGGCAGGATTGGGGGACATTATTCCCTCCTGGCCAATAAGCTCCTGTGGCCTGGCAGGCCAGGGGCCCAGGACACTGGGTGGGGACAGGTGGCGGGGGGAGTGGGGCAGGGCAGGGCAGAGGCCTATCCTCCCATAAAGACACAGTTGTATCACTTTGCTAAAACCTTTTCTGGCAAACTTACTTGGAGACAACAAGGAGGGGACAGCTGCTGTGGGTATTCGGCGAGTGCCCTAGAACAGGGAACTCTGACTTTCCCTCTTGGCTTTTTTCTCCTCTTAAAGATCCTCCCTCCGTGGGTGAGATGAACCCAGATTCCCATCAAACAGCAGCTCGGGCAGCATGTCTCACTGATCCTTATTTAACAATCGGCTCCTTCCCCTCTCCTCCAGATCTGTAGGACTGGCCAGTGCCAGCAAAATCTGCAAAAGTAGTGACCTAACCAGGGTGAAGAATGAGCCGCAAATCTACGGTAAAAACTGGATGTGCTAGGAGTTTCAATTCTTTGGATAATCAACATGTTTAAAACACTGGAGAAAAGAAAGACTTAAAGTCGTTTCAAAGTGTCCGTTCATACCTGAGACCGCGCCTATCTGCAGCGAACATATCTGCAGCATTGATTCTGGAACAGAGGTGAGGCAATGGAGCTTAGGGAGACAGGCAGAACGTGGCAGGCTTTCGCCTCTGTTCCCACCGGGGTCCACCAGGCTGGGATCCCCGAGCCCCGGAGCCACCAGCCCCCCACTGCAGAGCTCTCCTGACGCCTCCCCTCTGTGGCCCAGGAAGAGCATGTTTGGCCCTGGGAACTCTGATTTGGGCTGTTCTGGTGTCATCAAGGGTGTGACCTTCTTAAAGAGCATCTCCTCATCAGCCCTTCTCATGTTACCTGCAGGGAACGGAGGACAAGGTGACTCCGACAGGGGTCGTCTGGGCTCCTGGCCAGGCTGACAAGAGGCAGAGTCATGGTTGTGGGACCAGAGAGAACACACAGCACCTGACCTGGCCCCCTCCTCACTGCCACTCCCCTCCTGGCGAGGGCGAGGCATAGGGGTGAGCAGGGCCAGGCAGCCGGCTCAGGGATGGTACCTCTGAGGCAGCCAAGCACCTGGGGGCATTTCTGGTGTGGAGAGCAGGGCGGAAAGAGAGAGGCTGGCCCACGTGGTGAGTCTTCTGCCCCCCTGGGGCTTTGGTTGGGAATCCCAGCTGCTCCTCTGCCACAGTAGGAGGCCTCTCGGGCTCCAGATGCCTTTGGTTTCTATTAAAGAAACGCAGCTTGTATTTGTACTAATTAAAAACCAAAATGGAAAAAGGAGGCAGGAACCCCCGAAAGTCTGTTAGGCTGGAAACTGATTCCCGTAGTGCCTCAGGTGCTCATCCGCCACGGACAGGTAGGTGGCTCTCATGCTGGGAGAATACTGCCGAGAGAGAAGAGAGGGGATGGTCAGAGCTGGGTCAGCCAGGCACTACACCAGCAAAGGTGCCGGGGACTTCTCAGAGTGGAACTGGGCCGGGTGTCTTAGGGAATGAGGGAAACCCGGCCGTGCCGGGCCATCATCTGGCTCTCAGCCTCAGATAAAAAATACACACACAGACCAGCTGTCCTCCAATGTCCACTCTGCCCCAGCACCCAACCTGTCCCCTCACACTGAGGGCGCCATCAGGGTCCACCAACTCATGGAGGAGCAGTCAGCAGCCAGCAGGCTGGGGGGCAGAGGCCCAGAGATTCAGAGAAGCAGGTTCAAATCCCAGTTGTGCATCTTACCCCCTGACCTTGGCTTAGGTTCTCCAGCCTTTTCTAACCTCAGTTTCCCTACCTGCAAAATGGACATAAGAGCACCCAGCTCTTACATGGAAAGGGTGAAATTATGAGGCCGGGCGCGGTGGCTCACACCCGTAATCCCAGCACTTTGGGAGGCCGAGGCAGGCGGATCACGAGGTCAGGAGATCAAGACCATCCTGGCTAACACGGTGAAACCCCGTCTCCACTAAAAATACAAAAAATTAGCTGGGCATGGTGGCGGGCGCCTGTAGTCCCAGCTACTTGCAAGGCTGAGGCAGGAGAATGGCGTGAACCTGGGAGGCGGAGTTTGCAGTGAGCCAAGATTGCGCCACTGCACTCCAGCCTGGGCTATAGAGTGAGACTCTGTCTCAAAAAAAAAAAAGAAAGGGTGAAATGATATGGAGCAGGGAAGAGCCTTAACACAGCTGCTCTCAAACCGGGCTGCTCGCCAGAAACACCTGGGAAGCCTAAAAACATCCCGATGCCCAAGCCACACCTGCTAGTATATAGATATGTATATTTTTGTTGATGCAAAATGCACATAACGGTGGTGACTCATACCTGTAATCCCAGCACTTTAGAAGACAGAGGCAGGAGGATTGTTTGAGCCCAGGAGTTCGAGACCAGCTTGGGCAACATGGCAAAATCCTGTCTCTATCAAAAATACAAAAAATGAACTGGACACGGTGGCATGCACCTGTAGTCCCAACCACTCAGGAGGCTGAGGCAGGAGGAGAAGGTACTTGAGCCCAGGAGGTGGAGGTTGCAGCAAGCTAAGATCACACCACTGCACTTCATCCCGGGCAATGGAGCGAGACCCTGTCTCTTAAAAAAAAAAACCATGCACATAACATAAAACTAAGCATTTTAAAGAGCTATCAGTGTTTTTAGAGCTCTTTAGGCAACTCCAGTGTGCATTCAGGTTGGAGAAGCAGTGACCCAGTACAGAGGAGGTGCTCGACAGACCTTAGTTACTCGTCCTTGGCAGTGGAGAGGGCCTTTCACTCTATACCCTGTACACAGGCTACCTGGGGATCTTGTCCACAGGACCTGAGATTCTGTACTTCTAACAAGCTTCCAGAAGCTGCCACTCTTCTGATACAGGGAAGTTTCAGGGGTTCAGGCCATTCACATCAGAGAGAATGAAATGCTTCCACTTGGGCTGGGGTCGGGAAGGAGGGAGCATGAGGCTCTTCGACCCAGTGGGTCTCAACCAGGGGTGTTTTTGCCACCCAGGGGCATTAGGCAATGTCTGGAGACATTCTGGTTGTCACAACTGGGGACTGGGATGCCACTGGCATGTAGCAAGTAGAGGCCAGGGATGCTGCTAGACATCCTACAATGCACAGGAACCATCCACCGAGAATGACCCTGCCCATCAATAGCACTGAGGTTGAAGAAGCCCACCTCAGAGCAGTGGTTCTCCAAGCACGATTTCCAGGGCAGCAGCATCAGCTTTACCTAGGAATATGTCAGACATGCACATCTCCGGCCAGGCGCGGTGGCTCACGCCTATAATCCCAGCACTTTGGGAGGCGGAGGCAGGTGGATCACCTGAGGTCAGGAGTTCGAGACCAGCCATGCCAACATAGTGAAACCCTGTCTCTACTAAAAATACAAAAAAATCAGTGGGGGCCTGTAATCTCAGCTACTCGGGAGGTTGAGGCAGGAGAACCGCTTGATCTTGGGGGGAGGTTGCAGTGAGCTGAGATCATGCCACTGCACTCCAGCCTGGGCAACAAGAGCGAAACTCAGTCTCAAAAAAACAAAAAAAAAGGCACATCTCCAGGCTCTAACTCAGATTTTCTGAATCAGAAACAGGGTGGGTCCCTCAGGTGATTCTGATGCATATGCAAGTATGAGACCCTCCTTCTTTTTTATTTTCTTTGAGACAGAAACTCACTCTGTCACCCAGGCTGGAGTGCTGTGTTGCACTCTTGGCTCACTACAACCTCTGCCTCCTGGGTTCAAGTGATTCTCCTGCCTCAGCCTCCCGAGTAGGTGGGATTACAGGCACCCATCACCACGCCCAGCTAATTTTTGTATTTTTAGTAGAGATGGGGTTTCACCATGTTGGCCAGGCTGGTCTCGAGCTCCTGGCCTCAAGTGATCCACCTGCCTTGACCTCCCAAAGTGCTGAGATTACAGGCATGAGCCACTGTGCTGGCCAAGACCCTCCTTCTTAAAGCAGTATTTCCCAACTTGAATGATAATAAGTTCGCTAAACTTAGAATCTCCCAGGCTCTTTCCCCAAGATATTCTGTTTCTATAAGTGTGAAGAGAAGTCTCAGTGTCAGTATTGTTAACTGCCCTGGGTCATTTTTGTTCACTCAATTTTAATTGCCCTGGGTCATTTTTGTTCATCAAGTCCAGGAAACAGTGCCTAAAAAGATAGGAGACATTATTCCTTGAAGGCAGAGCTGGGCGAAGAGACATTTCCAGCAAGGGACAGGCTGTATATCCTGATCACCAGGCGTGACATCACCCACCCAGTGAGATCCCCGGACTGTCCCAGAGAGGGCGCTCGGCAGAGGGAGGAGTTTATCCACTTCTCGAACTTGCTCAATCCTAAGGAGTGTTTAGAGCAGGCACCCCGGGGAGGGTGGGGTGCAGCCAGCTGTGCTGTCTTTACTGGGTCAGACCCCCACATCCTCCACGCTGTGGGGTTCCTTGGTCTGCAGCATCATTAGATGTCTCTCTAGGTCCCTTACCAGGCATGGAGGTGGAAGGGTCTTCCCAGGGCAGGCTGAGCTAGGTAGGACTGGGCAGTCAACTTGGCCAAAGCAATAAGTGTTTCTGGGCAGGTCTTAAATCTAGGGAGGAAGGGTTTTCTGTCCTTGAGCCTTGCAAATAAGGTCAGTTGCTGATTATCTCTGCTAACGGCAGGACGAGTGGCCTGGATCTTTCAAACAGAAGGTAATCCGAAAATCATTTTTATTTGGCACCACAATGCACAGAGTAATTCTTTTTTCACAGCAGATTCCCCCTAATTACATTGTGCTTAGATTAATATTAAAGCCAATCTGCATTCCTGGGGCCATAGCAGCTGGTGGTTGGAAAAAGGAACCCGGGAGGCTTCCGATTAGTGAGAGAAGCTAGGCTGGGATTTAAAAGGTGCTGACTTCTAGGCGGGGCATGGTGGCTCATGCCTGTAACCCCAGCACTTTGGGAGGCCGAGGCAGGTGGATCACTTGAGGCCAGGAGTTTGAGACTAGCCTGGTCAGCATGGCAAAATCCCATCTCTACTAAAAATGCAAAGATTAGCCAGGCGTGGTGGCACATGCCTGCAGTCCCAGGTACTTGGGAGGCTGAGGCATGAGAATTGCTTGAACCCAGGAGGTGGAGGATGCAGTGAGCTGAGATTGCGCCACTGTACTCCAGCCTAGGTGACAGAGTGATACTCTGTCTAAAAAAAATAAGAATAAATAATAAATGGTGCTGACTTTGAATACAGGTTCAACCAGCCCACTTCCGAGGACTCCAGGAAGAAGAACAACATGAGGCCGGGGCTTGTGTTGGTAAAGCTGCGGGGACAGCAGGTGAGGTGCTCCAGGCAAAAGCACCAAGGTGGTGGCACAGGAGTGAATGGCAGGGGGATTGGTTTCAGCAGGCTTGCTAGTGGGTCGAGGCCAGGGACGCTGCTAAACATCCCACATGCAGAGGACAGGCCCCAAAACCTATGGACATTTGGGGCTGCACCAGGCTTTGTGGTGGGGGCTCCACCCACTAATGTCAATAGCATCCAGTCTCCTTCCCCAGCCTCCAAGTGTGGTAATGAAAATGCCTCCAGACATTGCCCAATGTCCTCGGGGGGAAAACTGCCCCTGAGTGAGCCCCTGCTCTACACTGTGGCTCAAATGCCAACTATTAAATAGAACTTTCTGGAATTCCCTAGAGCAGCAGCAAAGACAGCTCCTTCTTTCTGGTCCCAAAGTACCTTGTAGCACTTTCTACAGGCAGCCTTCTTGTGTGCCCCTTCTATAGACTGGGACTTCCTGAAGACAGGGACTGGGTCCCACTTGCTCTTTTCTTGGGTCTGATGGTATGATTTTCACCAAGCGCCATGACTAGGAAGCTGACTCCCTGGGTGCCTGTGCATGCACTTCCTGGGTCCTCAGGGCCCAGGTCTATCACGCTGGTCCCAGGTACTCGGGCTCCAGTGCTTCTGCTTTCCTGTTGGATGTTCCCTTCCAAACTACCTGGGCGGGGGCAGTGAAGTGCCTCGCCCAGCCAAATGAAGGGAGACGCCTGGCTCCAGAACCCTTCTGCCCACCCCGTGGCAGACTTCTGGCCTTTGATTGCCCTTGTCCTTTCTTATAAATGCCACAGCTCTGGCCGGGTGCGGTGGCTCACGCCTGTAATCCCAGCACTTTGGGAGGCCAAGGAGGGTGAATCACCTGAGGTCAGGAGTTCGAGACCAGCCTGGTGAAACCCTGTCTCTGCTAAAAATACAAAAATTAGCCAGGTGTGGTGGTGCATGCTTGTATATCCCAGCTAGTAGGGAGGCTGAGGCAGGAGAATCGCTTGAACCCGGGAGGTGTTGTAGTGAGCTGAGATCACACCACTGCACTCCACCCTGGGCAGAAGAGTGAGACTCCGTCTCATAAAAAGTAAAAGAATAAAATAAAATTAATAAATGCCACAGCTCTGTGGAGGTGGGGTGGAAGAAAATCACAAATAACAGCTCCTTGTCCTACGGCACTCACTGGATGCTTCACACGTACGCTCTGATAACAATCAATTTCCCCAATGCACACACCACTGAGAAGGAACGTGCTAGTATTCCCATACCCATTCTATAGATGGGGAAACTGAGGCACAGAGCAGCAAAGTGCTTGTCCAAAGTCACAGAGGCCACAAGCGACGAGCTGGGATGTGAACCCAGGCATTCGGCACTGGGGTCTGTGTCCCTGAACCTCGGTGGTCACTTCCCTGTCGGTTTGCAGCTCTTTGTCTCAGCCAGTGTTTCTGAGTCCTCTGGATACTTCTCTGGGATGAGACAGCACGGTCTTTGCTTCTCAACCTCCCACCCTGAGCTACTCCCCTGAGGCTGCATCTCAGGTACCCTGGCTGGAGGTGGTGGGGTGGACAAGAGGCACAGACCCCACTCGGGCACAGTCCTAGGGACACGGGGAGCTGAGACGGATTGAGGAAGGCTGTGTTCAGGTTCAGCCCTCCCAGACCCACCACCACAGCCCACCCACCTTCCAGCCCAAGAAAGACCAAAGATTAAGGTAAACAGAAATCTACAAAGAAAAACACTTCCTTAATTTTCTCTGGTGCACAAAGGGAATGAGGACCCCTCTCTTCTTGCATTATTTCCTTTAGAAAACGTATCATTGTAAATAATTTCTGTCTTTTGAGATGTCTGCAAACCTTCTTAAAGGCTGAATATGGCCCTTGCCAGTGTTACAATCCAGGCATGGGTTCTCACGGTCTGGGAGCCATCTCTTGGAAGTACCAACATCAGGAAGACAGCACCTCATCTCCTTCTCAGTGACAGTTCACTTAGGGACCTGGCTCCAAGTTGTAACTATCTGATTGTTACGGAAATAGGAGTTTTATTTTTCCTCTGGATAAAGGCAATTAGCTGGCCAGTTGCAGTGGCTCATGCCTATAATCCCAGCACTTTGGGACGTCGAGGCAGGCGGATCACCTGAGGTCAGAAGTTCGAGACCAGCCTGGCCAACATGGTGAAACCCCATCTCTACTAAAAATACAAAAATTAGCCAGGTGTTGCGGCACGCACCTGTAATCCCACCTACTTGGGAGGCTGAGGCCGGATAATTGCTTGAAACCTGGGTTGCAGCAAGCCGATATTGTGCTACTGACTGCACTCCAGCCTCGGCAACAGAGTGAGACTCCATCTCAAAATAAATAAATAAAACAAATAAATAAAGGCAATTACTTAACCAGGACGGCCACCCCAATCAGCAAGTGGATTAAGGTGGACTACTGTGACAAACAGTGCCGTCAAGTCCTCTTGCTGGATGACAGGTATGCAGTGGGCTGTGTCTTATTCCTGCCTGGTTAGAGGAAGGAGTGAGATTTCTCGCGTCTTTGCAATCTCCTTAGCGGACTGCCTGGGATACCCGCGACGGTCTGGTTTAGAGTGTATTCAATTACAGAACTGTTTCATTCTTTTCTGCCTTTGTGGACAGGATTCACTGGGTTGGCAGGAGGTTTTGTCTTTACGTATTACCCCAACAAGGAAGGGCCAGAGCTCTAATTACCGTAGGCGGAGGGGAGGCTCTCCCGATGAGCGGCACGTTCTCGTAGCGTGGGTTCCTACCAAAGAGCATGGCTTGGTTCCTGCGGGGATGAGAGGAGAGCTCAGGAGGGGATGGTATGGGAGTGGAGGTATGTGCAGATTTCTACAGGAGGGTCCCATGGGTGAGCACATGGGAGGCAGGGGATGGACCTGAACCACAGCTAGAGTGGAGGAGGTGCGGTGGGCAGATATGGAGAAGAGCACATTGGGAAGCCTGGGGACAAGTGGCTGATGGGCAACGAAGGCTGAGAGCAGCATGGCCTGGAGAAATGCAGCTTCTCGGGCCTGGGACCTGTCCCATCAGCTTGTGGCAGAGGCTGCTGACATCAGTGGGTTCTTCCCCCAGCACATGTGGGTGTGAGGGGTGACCAGATGCTCCCGGGGGGCCTTCTCTCCAGGCACCCCGTGGCTGTAGTGGGGACCACGGGTGGCCTTGGATGCCTTCCTTCCCCCACCTGGTGCTGTAGACCCCACCCAACATGCTGTCCAGGCAGTGCTACCCAGCCTGGGTGTGTGAGCAGGCCGTACATGTACTCGGAGACAGGCGCGTTGGAGATGGTCTGAGCAGGGGGCTGCAGGCTGGTCTGACTGCCCAGGCCACTGCTGTAGCTGCAGAAGCTGTGAAGCTGCCCCCTCGGGGGATTGTGGGCCGCCATGCGCCAGGCTTGGGGGTTAAAGGGGTCATCATCATCAATGTCGTCGTAGTCTCTGTTTCTAGAACAACGGGTAGAAGATGGCCGGCTGTGAAGGGTGAAGGAGGCACCGAGGCAGCCAGGTCCTGTCCTGCTTCCCTGCCTTTCCTGCCAGGACTCTCTGGCCATGTCTCTGGCCTTGAGACTCCTTTAAAACACGGTCCCTGGCCTGCCTCCTGCAGATCACTCTGGCCCATTCCCAGCTTCACGACCAGCTCTTCCGGGCTCCCCACCATGCTGACCGTGTGCACGTGGGTCCTCCCTACCCTGCGTCCTCTTGCCTAACCTGCTCATGAGGTGCCTATACACCTTCTGTCCCTTCCCATCTCCTCAAGAGGGCTGCAGGCTCCCTGAAAACAGTGACCCCATGTATCCTTCTTGGTATTCCCGGGGCACCCCTCCCAGCACCGGGAACTCTCCTCATTCCAGATTGCAAAGTCCTGGTGAGAAGAGAGGAGAAGGGAGGCCAGGCTGTGGCCTGAGGGCTGTCACCACCCTGGGCCCCAGCTCCTGCTCTGGGCCCCACCGAACTCCTTTGGAGGGTCTGTCTGGACTCTTGGGGAAGCTTCTGTAGAAGCCAGCCAGCCTGTTGGGCTGAATGCCCAGGCCCTCTGCTGCCCTCCTCAGTCCTGGGTTATCAGCTAAATCGTAGAGCAGAGGCCCCTGTCTGCTGCTCTCCCAGGAGACCCCCAGGCCGTGGGAGGCTCCCCTCCTTACTAGGCAGCCCACCTGGTGGTGAAGTGCTTCCAGGCCCTTGGCCCCGCACAGATCATGGTGGAGAAGGCAAGGGCGGCCAGGAAGGAGAAGAGGCCAAGGTACAGCAAGCCCTGGAGGCCGTCGTAGCAGGTGCCAGCAAGGGCGTCCAGATAGTCCTGGAGGAAGAGGAGGGACATGCAGCTAGTGAAGGAGCGGGGGCAAAGCCTGGGGGCCAGGCTCTCCTCTGGAAGCCCCTCTCCCCCGAGACTGAACCCGGGGTCTCCTGGCTGCTCCCCATCCTGAGCACCTTGTAGCACCATTAAGGATCCACACTCTGGAGCCTAACACAATGGGGCTTCTTGGGTTCACTCTGCAAACATTTGCTGAGCACCTACTGTGCGCTAGGCACTAAGAAGCTGGCTCTGAACAGGGCAGATGAGGTTGCAGGGTGGGGAACCAGAGACGGGGGCACTGAAGCTGAGGCCAGGATGGCAAGAAGCGGCACACTTTGAGAAGAGGGGGCAAAGGGGACAGGCTTGGCCTGTTCAGGAAAGAGAGAGAACACAGGCCAGCAGGAGATGGGGTTGGAGGGGCCAGGTCATGCTGGGCCTTGCAGCGCAGGAGAGGAGTACGGAGTTTTATAAGGGGTCAGAAAGACATCGGAGCGTGTGGGAATGGAAGGGATGTGATCCAATCTAGTTTGCAAAAGGACTGCTCTGGCAGAATGTATGAAAGCTCATGGGTGGTGAGGGGGCAAGAGAAAGTGGGAGGAGGCCACTGTCTGCTGGAGGAGCAGGACCGGGTCATGGTGGAAGCCGTGGAGAGAAAGAGAAATGGATGGACTCAGGGTACAGCTGAGAGGAGAGCTGCCAAGACTTGCTGGGGATTAGTGTAGAACGGGAAGGAGAGAGGAGACAGGGGTGACTGCCATGTTCTTAGCTCTGACGTCAGACGACCAGGATCAAAACCCAAGCCCCTGATGTGTCAAGTCAGGACTCTTCAGTAGGCCACTTTACACACACACACCCCACACACACACACCACACGCACCCCCCACATACCCACACATGCACACATGCACACACACACATGCACACATGCACACACACACCACACACCACACGCACCCCCCACATGCGCACACATATGCACACATGCACACACACCACACACATGTGTGCACATGTGTGCACAACACACATGCACACACACCACACGCACCCCCACACACATGCACACACACCACACACGTGCGCACACACGTGTGAACACACATGCACACACACCACATGCACACACCACACACATGCACACATCACACCCCCCACATTCATACAGGCACATGCACACACACATGCACCACACACACGTGCATACCACACATGTGCACACACACGCACATACCACACACACATTTGTGCACACACACAACCACACAGACACACACCACACACATGCACACAGACATACACATCACACAAGTGCACACACATGCACGGGCACACAGATATAGCTATATCTATGCGTCTATCCATACACACACGCGTGCGCGCACACACACACGCACACACACACGCACACACATAGGTATATCTATGCGTCTATCCATACACATGCACACACACACACGCACGTGCGCACACACATAGATATATCGGTGCATCTATCCATACACACACACGCACGTGCGCACACACATAGCTATATCTATGCATCTATCCATACACACACACGTACACACAGACACACACGCACGTGCGCACACACATATCTATGCGTCTATCCATACACACTTGTGCGCAAAAACACACACACGTGCACACACACATAGCTATATCTATGCGTCTATCCATACACACACACACGCATGCCAATTTCCTAGGAAATAACATGTGTCTCACAATATAACTGTGAGAACTGGATGACATACTGGATATAAAATGCACGGAACAGGGCCAAGCATGGAGCTGACAGCTATGATGATGACAAAGACCGTCTGCACTAAATCCACCTGGGATGTGAAAGCTGTCACCATACACTGGCTCACTGCTTGGGGGTGGGAGGCTCTCATGTGCTCGCCATGTGTTCCCTGCATCATTGTGTCTGTCTGATAGTCCAAGTTCCTGGAAGACTCTGGCAGTGGGATTGGGACATCCATTTGCAACCCAGGGAGATGGATGTGTTGACCACATGGCCAGGAGTCTGGACAACGGGGAATAGCCTCCCTTGTATTGGTCAGGGTCCCCCAGTGACCCAGAGCCAACCGGATACAACCCTCCCATCCCTGACCCCTGGTCCCTTGTACTGAGTCTCCCTGTCTCAGCCCTTGGAGAAAGGCCAGGCACCCCCTCCCTTCCCACTGTCTGGCTTCAGCTCCATTCCTGGGCCTGAAGGGGGCCCAGGCCACCACTCTCCTCAGCCTCTACCGGCTTTTCTCTGGAAGGTGTGGCCTGCTGGGTGCCCTCACACTCTCCACGTGCCCCCAGGGCCCCCATGCACCTTGTGGAGCCCTCGGCAGTCCACCATGGCGGTGAGTTGGTGAAGGCTGGACTCCGAGGAGTTCAGCAGGAGCTGGATTGCAAGCAGGTCTTCCTGAAGCAGGAAGAGAGACAGAGACACCGAGGGGCTGTAGAGGAGAGCTGGCGGAGAAAACCACCACGGCAGCTGTGCTCAGGGGCCTCTAGAGCCAAGGGTGGGAGCCGAGTCACGGGGGTGGGAGCGCAGAGAGCCAGCAGCAAGCTGTGCACAGCCTGGCCCTGGGGCTGGGGTAGGGGAAAGGGCTGTCAGGGTTCATCTGGGGCTCCCCTCTTCCTGCACAGCTGCCTTACCTCTGCGGTGGAGAAGAGGGGCACGGCAAACTGCAGCAGCCCCGCGACCTGGATCTGCATGGTGGTGAGCGCGCGCTGGAAGGTGGTCAGGGTCTGGGCCAGGAGAGACACAGCCCCACCGTGAGGCTCCATCTCCCAGGAGCCCCACAGCGGCCGAGGGGCCTATGCTCCTGCCCCTCCCACCTGGCTGCAGCTGCACAGGCCTTCCACTTGCAGGAAGTCTCCCCCTGCTCCTCTGGCTTCTTGAAAGCTACACAGTCTTCTCCCTGCTTGCAGCTCAGATGTGGTCTTTGGACCAGCAGCCCTGGCCTCACCTGGGGGCTTGTGAGACGTGCAGCATCTCGGCCCCACCCCAGGGCGGCTGCACAGCATCTACATGGAACCAGCTCCCCACTGAGCTGCACACACGTTAACCACCGATCTAGAACCCGTGACCAAAAGCAAGCTTCCCCCACCGCCCCCACAGAAGCAGCTAAGGAGAAGACCACGGTGAGGCAAGGAAGGCCCTGCCACCTCCGCCATCCTGGTCAGTGGTGGGGCTTCGGGTCAAGGGGGAGTGGCTGTGGGCAGGGTGCGGGCAGGCCTCGGGGGGCCGTACCTGCTGGAAGGGGCTGCTTCCACTCTGGCTGCAATACAGGTAGTAGCGAGTCACCTCTGCAGGGCAACAGCGTGGCGTTAGGCAGCTCACAAATGACCAGATGAGATCTCTATCATCCTTGGTGGCCAAGCCAGACCTCCCTCCCCGTCCCTGAGCTCCCAAGGGAGGCAGTTTCTAGGAAATGGCCTAGAGCAAGAGCTGGACCTCAAGTTCAGGGTTGAGGAGGGGTTGGATGGCTGCAGGGCTGAAAGAGGTACGTAGGGGCACACAGTCTGGCCACCCATGCATCTACAGCAGCGGCCTGAGAGCGTGTTACCTGTGCTGATCTGGCCCTCCGTGATGTTCAGGATGAAGGTGTCAGGAGCCACACAGAAGTCACTGGTGGCCTGAGTGAGGGAGAGAGGGACGGGGTGGAGGAAAGTCAGATACCAGGACGTCGGGGTCCTGGGAGGAGCCAGGAGCCCATCACCCCAGCCCTTTCAGCTCCCTCCCAGGTGGCAAAGGACAGAGTCTGGAGCCAGCCTCCTGGGTTCAAACCTGGCTCTGCCCCTTCCTAGCACTGTTACCTTGGACAAGTTACTTATTCTTCCTGTGCCCCGGCTGCCTCATCTATAACATGGAGATGATAATGCTATTCACCCACTGCATGTAAAGTGCTCGGAAAAGTGACTGGGGTGGAGAGCATGCTGTTACTCTTATTCCCAAATGCCTCTTCTGGGACAGACCCTTGGGGGCCACCATCCTGGGCCCCAGGGCAGCTGCAGGCTGTGTGTGTGGGAGTTCATTACACCATGGCCTCATCTGCTCATGTCTGTTTTACATTTTGTCTTGCTGTGATCAAGTCCTACAGGGACGGGTGGACAATCTATGAAGGCTTCCCCGAACTTTTTCTAAAGAAGGAGGTTGGTGCTGAAGCATCTGTGAGCCTGGGGGGCAGGTCCTCACCTGCCAAGACACGGGGTGGGAAGGGCATGGAGCTGAGAGGCGGCTGCCACTTACGAGCTGGAGGGCCTGGCCCCACAGCATGGCCTGGCTAGGTGATTGCTAAGGCCCATGCAGCAGGGTGGGAGCAGACACAGGCCCCAGGAGAGGCGTCAGCAAGTACATGGCCTCTAAGCCAGGTGTACCCCAGATCTGGCCTGGGGTGCTCTGGGGACTGGAAAAACGGGGGGCCTCTGCCTTCCAGAGTAGCCAGGGAGAGCTCAAGTCCTCTGGCCTGTTCTTAGGGGCATCCCCCTCCTCTGGCGCATGCTCCTTGGGCAGGGGACCCCTCTGAGTGCCCTGCTCTGCCGGTGGCCCTGTCCTCCTTCAGGAACCACTGCCTCAGGGGTCATAATAGAGCATCACTCACTAACTTGTTAAGTTGATAGACATTTATGGAGTACTTCCTCGGTGCCGTGCAGGGTTCTAGCAACTACAGGTTAGTGCATCACAGCACTTATGGTCTAGGAAATGTGTGTCTAGCGAGGGTGGGGAATAACATGCCCCTCTAGATACAGAGCTTCCTGAGAGCCCCATGTGCACACGCACACACACATGCATGCACGCATGCACTTAAGACCCTGGGAGAAATGCTTTATACACAAACCACTAGCATTCATAATACATCAACCTGGCCTATTATTACCTATCAGAGCTGTGGCGCCAGCAGGCCTGGTGGTGTGCCCCCGCCCCCTGGATGGAGTGGCAGAGAGTGCAGCCAGGCCCAAGTGGAGGATGGGGAAGCCTTGGGAAAATAAAGAGCGAGGCCACTATCTCAGTTTGGGTCACCCCTGAGAAGTTTGGGAACCAAGAAAGGAGAGGGACAGAGGCCCCAGTCCAAGGCTCCACAGTGACGTGGTCCTCCTGCCTCCCTCCTCCCCCTCCCAGGCCAGGCCTGCTCTTCACACCCCCTGGCCACCCTGGAGCCTCCATCTCCTGGGATAGGTGCATAGGATGGTTTGGGGTGTGGGACTCAGTGAGGAGTCAACTCCCCTATTAATGAAGACAAACACCTGTGTGCATGTGCATGTACGTGTGTGATGCATATGCACTTGTGTGTATACGTGTTGATATGGTTTGGCTGTGTCCCCACCCAAATCTCATCTTGAATCCCCATGTGTTATGGGAGGGACTAGGTGGGAGGTAACTGAGTCATGGGGGCAAGTCTTTCTCACGCTGTTCTCGTGATAATGAGTAAGTCTCACAAGACCTGATTTTTTTTTTTTTTTTGAGACACAGTCGTGCTCTGTTGCCCAGGCTGGAGTGCAGTGGCGTGATCTCAGCTTGCTGCAACCTCCGCCTCCTGGGTTCAAGCACAGGCATGCACCACTATGCCTGGCTAATTTTGTATTTTTACTAGAGATAGGGTTCTGGCATGTTGGTCAGGCTGGTTGTGAACTCCCGACCTCAGGTGATCCACCCGCCTTGGCCTCCCAAAGTGCTGGGATTACAGGTGTGAGCCACCGCACCCGGCAGATCTGATGGTTTTAAAAATGGGAGTTTCCCTGCATAAGGCCTCTTTGCCTGCTGCCATCCATGTAGGACGTGACTTGCTCCTCCTTGCCTTCCACTATGATTATGAGGCTTCCCCAGCCATGTGGAACTGTGAGTCCAATTAAACCTCTTTCTTTTGTAAATTGCCTGGTCTTGGGTATGTCTTTATCAGCAGCGTGAAAATGGACTAATACACGTGTGCATTACTCATGCCATGGTGATGGGGATGGCAGGAGAGGGGACAGGAAGGAGGGCACTGAGCACAGTTGGGGCAGGTGGGAGAGGCTGCCCATTAACCAGCCCAGGCGATGGCTAAGCCTGCAGGCAGCTCCTAAGAATGGAGGTGTGGGTCTGAATGGCCGCCCCGTGACCCTAGCATGATGATGATGAATGCACAGGAAGCCAGTGGTGGCCACTGTTTATTGGACATGTTCTGTGTGCCTCCCAGGATTAACCCACTCATCTTTCCCTAGCAACAGCCCTTTGAGGTAAGTCCTGTTATTCTCCGTGTTCACCTGGGAGGAAACTGAGGCACAGAGAACTTCAGGAACCTTCCTGGGTTTCCACTGCTGGGAAGGGTTGAAGGGGGGGATGTGAGCCCAGACAGAGTGGCTGCAGAGGCCACACTCCCACTCTCTGACTGAGGGGCAGGCCTGGCTGCCCCTTGGCTAGAGGAATTCCCTGGAGCGCTCTGTCCCCGGGCTCGGTGGCCAAAGCACTTGTGACAGCCCTTGCCTCCCTCCCTCACAGCTGAACCCACTTCCTCCCCCTTCCTTCTTCCAGGGCTTCCCAGCCTCTCTGCCTGCTCTAGTCCCTCACCCTAGACACCTCCTGACTCGCAGTGCTGACCACAAGGGGTAGCCCCAGGGCCTGGAGGCTCAGAGTTTGGCTGCTCAAGTCCTGCCGGCCCTCCTCTCCCGCCTCACCCGGAGCAGATCTCCAGGGCAGCCCTCTGTCCTCATGGAGTCCTTTTTAGGGACAGAGAGGGGTGGGGTGGGGGGTGGAGAGGGGAGGGTTTGTCAGTCCTCTGGCCCCATGGCTGTCAAAACAGGCCTCAGAGAGCAGGGTGGCATTGGGAGGCCACACAAAAGCTCTCCACAATAACCCCGGGACAGCCGGCCACCCTCCCCGCCCTCCTGGCTCCTCCTCACCCGGCTTCCTATTAAAATGCAGCAGCATCTCCAGCCCGTCAAAAGCCCATTCAGCTCCACCGCCTGCTCCCCCTCTCACACACAAGGGCCTGACTAGAGGAATTAGGGAAATGGCCTCTCTCCCCAGCTCCCTGCATTCCAGGGCGCCCCGCTGGGAGATTAAATGGCCTCTGGTTTTTGTGAACACTGAAGCCTGGTGAGAGGGAGGAGCCCCCCTGGGAGGGGTGTGGCCACCACAGGGCAGCTCACAGCGGCAAGCTGGAAGCCACTGCTGCCTCCAGAAGGCAGAGGCTGCCCAGAAAGCGGGATGGGGCCCTGGAGGAGCTCGCCGTGCGCTCCCTGTGGCTTCCCTGTGCGTGCCCCTGGCCCCAGAGGAGAGGCTGCAGGCCAGGCAGCAGTGTCCCAGCTCCCGCATGCTTTCAAACGTGACTTGGGCCTTTTCTCTGCCAGTCATTGGTCCGTGGTCACTGCACTGAGGTGGCGGGGAGCAAAGACAGGACATGCCCTCTCTTCTCCCTTCTGCATAAGCCTCTGCCTGAGGTGCTAAGTCAGTGCCAGAGTCCCTGAGGGCACTGTGTCCACACCCAGAGCTAGTGGCCAACCCCCAAGTCACTGGACAAGGTGTGAGTGTATTTAGGGAGCTTCTGGTACAAACCACTCCCATCTTATCCCTATCAAGCCCCAGGTCACTAGGGCAGAACAGATGCATGTCCCAGGGTTAGTCTGCGGCCTTTGAATCAGGGAGGGGTTCCTTAATGCCCCTGGTAAACTGTGTTCTCTTCTATCACATGCACGTGCATGAACACACACACGCACAAACATACACAAACATACACATACAAACACACACGCAAACACACAAATACACACATGCAAACACAAACACACACGCGCACACACACACACACACTGCACCTCCACTGTATCACAGTTATCTGCCTACAAGTCTTGCTTCCAAAGGCTGGAACTTTGTCAACAGCAACCATCACGTCCTCTTGGCTTCCGCATCCCCAGGCATCTTGTACCATCGAGTGCCACCCAGCAAACAATCAGCTGAGTGAATGAACAGCCTCATGCACACAGCTTAGCGCCAGTGTTAGGTCCATTAAAGATCATGTGGACCTGCATAGGAAACCCCCACCTTTTTCTTTTTTAAACCATTTTGAGGCATCACATCCAGAAACATACAGCACATGTGCTTCAGACCGCGGGAGTCCTGGGACATTGGGACGGAAGGCAAGTCAGACACCACATTCTACAGTCCCAGGGCCTGGGGAGCTGGCAAAGTAGCGGCTTCTGATACGGGAGGGACTCCCTGGTCTGAGGCTCGGATGCCTACTCATTCTCAGGAGACCCGGTCAGTTCTTCACACCTAGAGAGAAGCCCCTGGTCACCCAGGCACACCTAAGCCTAAGCATGTGTAAGCCTAAGCACGCCTGGGCAGCTGAGGGCTTCTCTCTGGGTCTGAAGCATGAGTGTCTTATCCTGGCTGTGACCCTGGGCAGGCCCCTTCCTTTCTCTGGGCCTGTTTCCCCATCTGTAACGAGAGGGGCCGGTTCAGATGACGCAAGTCCCTTTGGTTCTGAGATTCTAGGTTAGGAGCTGGGACCGGAAGCTGGCCCTGCTTGGAGACACACTGGAGTATCCTGGCAGACCACCTACCACCCACCCCGTCCCCCAACTCACCACTGCCGCAGCGGCATCAGCGGCCAGGGATGCCCAGCTGAGAAGCAGGCTCAGTGCTCCGCAGCACAGCATCCTAGGAGAGAGGCAGGCAACAAGGTTGGTAGGCGGGCTCCCCTTCCTCTCAGCCATCACCCTGCCCACCCTGCCCCCAAAACCCTTGCAGTGGATCCAAAGGCAGCCTCAGTCCCTGCCCTGATGTGGGCCCTGCTCACTACTAGGAAAGAGCCACGGAGCCCAGGTCCTTGGGGCTAAAGAGACCCAGGCGTGACAGCACAGGCTAAGGGGGCAGCGTTGGCTAAGATGGCCGGAGGCTTTCATGCGTGGGCCCACGTTTCTTAGCCGCTCAACAGTCAGGCCCAGAGAAGGAGGAAAGCCTAGTGCTTGCTCGTTGGGTGACCAGATGGCGAGTTGGTGGCTGCTGTCTGTCTCCTCTGCTGAGTGCTGAGGACGGGGCAGAAGGTGGCCTCAGGCAGCCCGGCTGTTTTCCCCACACTCCGGAGCTGGCCAGGCCCTCGTCTCTCTCTGATGATGGCATCCTGCCCAGCTCTTTGTCCCAGGTCCATGGGTAGGGATACTCACGAGGCCAGGAGACACTTGGAGCGCTTGGCCAGTCCCAGGCAGGCCATGAGGCAGATGACTAGGTCCAGGATAAAGAGCAGGAGGTAGGAGAGCCACCTGGGTAGACGGGCAGGGATGGTCAGGAGCAACAGGGTGGACCTCCTGACCTGCTGGCCACCTGGGAGGCCTGCGCAGCAGCCCCAGGACCCACTAGACCCTTTACTACGACACACTGCCCAGAGCCCCCGAGCACCCAGCATGCGTGGGCTGAAGGCTCGGGAGCTCCACCCCCACTGCTGCCCGGACAAAGCTGTCACTTCCCACTCCCTGCCTTCACCTCCAGGCTGAGTGTCAAAACCAGCACTGTGCACCAGAACTTTCCCCAGTGGAGGAACTGTTCGAAATCCCTGCTGTGCAGCCTCCTTTGCCACAACCCACAGGTGGCTACCGAGAACTTGAAACATGGCTTGTGCAACTGAAGAAATACATTTTAAACTTTACTTAATTTTAATTAATTAAAATAGCCACACACGGCTGGGGCTACCACCCTGGACAGCACAGCTCTGACGTGTTTTTCTGTAGCCTCCCAGCAGGCATCTCCTAGGACCCTGCTTCCCTTTGCTTCTAGAACTCTCAGACAGCATCAGACCAGCCAAGGCCTGATGTTTATAACCACAGATCTAACACAGCCCCTAACGTGCCTCTCTGACAAACACCCAGTCTGGCCCCCCAAGGCCTCCCATCTTGCCCCCTTGCTGGATGGGATCCATAACTTAAGACTTTTAGGTTCAGGCCAGGCGCAGTGGCTCAGCCTGTAACCCCAGCACTTTGGGAGGCCAAGATGGGTGGATCACTTGAGGCCAGGAGTTCAAGACCAGCCTGGCCAACATGGTGAAACCCCATCTCTACAAAATATACAAAAATTAGCCAGGTGTGGTGGTGGGCGCCTGTAGCCCCAGCTACTCGGGAGGCTGCAGCAGGAGAATCACTTGAAACCAGGAGGCAGAGGTTGCAGTGAGCTGAGATCACGCCATTGCACTCCAGCCTGGGCAACAGAGTGAGATTCCATCTCAAAAATAACAACAACGAAAGATTTTATATTTAGGTTCCTTTTTTTTTTTTTTTTTTGAGACGGAGTCTCGCTCTGTCACCCAGGCTGGAGTGCAGTGGCACCATCTCAGCTCACTGCAAGCTCCGCCTCCCAGGTTTACGCCATTCTCCTGCCTCAGCCTCCCAAGTAGCTGGGACTACAGGTGCCTGCCACCTCGCCCGGCTACTTTTTTGTATTTTTTTTTTAGTAGAGACGGGGTTTCACCGTGTTAGCCAGGATGGTCTCGATCTCCTGACCTCGTGATCCACCAGTCTCGGCCTCCGAAAGTGCTGGGATTACAGGCTTGAGCCACCGTGCCCGGCCTTTAGGTTCATTTTTAAGCAACATTTGTGCCAGGGACTGAGCTTGGCACCAGGGATACCCAGGTGAGTGGGCTCATTTCTGACTATCAGAGAGCTCAGTGTGGAACCCGGGAGTCTGGGTCAGGGTACTGACAGCCCTGCAGACCTCTAGGCTCCTCCAAGCCCTTCATTCCTCTGGCCTTTTTGCCCCCAAGGCTGGGCTGATGGGGAAAGGCAGTTACACCCCAGCTGGGAGAGCTTGGTAAGCTACTTCACCCCTTGGGACCTTGGTTTCCATATCTGTAAAGGGAGCTGGAACGCCTCATCTCACAGGGCCAGAGTAAGGATTAGGTGCTTGCTAAATATAAAGGTTGACGGGGCAAGGCAGTCCAGGACTTCAAAGGCCCTGCCCTCCTGCTTCTCCAGAGAACAGGCTGAAGAATCAAAGTACCTTAAGCCCAAGGGCACCGAGAAGACCCCAAAGTGCCCTTGTTCCTTTCGCTTCCACACAGGTCCCCAAGGTGGTCCTCACGAGGCCAGTGGTCTCCCCTGGCAGCCATGCCCCTTGCCCTGTGCTGGGCACCAGCAGGAGAGTGGACAGAGGAGGGAGGGTGCAGAGACAGGGCCTTCCCAGTCCCCAAAGAGGGAAGTATTTGGATCATTATTTCTCTTGCTGCGAGAGCCAAGTCAAGTTGCTGACTTCTCCTCTCCAGCAATGGTTTTCTGCTTCACTGACATCATAAAGGGGAAGAAGGAGTTTGGAGCATGGGCAGGGAGTGCCCTGGAGCTAGCGGAAAGTGGCAAAGAGGCTCTAAGGGAGAGAGGGGAGGGAGCAAGCTGGAGGCCCCAGCAGCCAAGGGAGGTTCTTTCTGACCCCCAAATCGAGGCTTACTGCCAAGAGAAGGGGACTAATCAAAGTCCTTGTTTCTGCACAGAGCAGGGGGCAATGCACACTAGGTCTCTGGGAGTTCCAGGAATGGAGCTGGGGGATTTGCAGAGTGGGCAGAGCCTGCTGCCACCAAGAAGCCAGTTTCCTTAGACTCAGCTCAGAGCTGGAAGGAACGTCGCAAACCATCTAGTGTTTGGATCACATTCTTATTTTCACACACGCATACGCGCACACACACACGTATTATAAAGACTGGGTCTCTCTGTGTTGTCCAGGCTGGTCTCAAACTCCTGGACTCAAGAGATCCTCCTGCCTCAGCCTCCCAAAGTGCTGGGATCATAGGTGTGAGCTGGATCCCATTCTACAGATTGGAGAGCCAAGGCCCCATGGTGGGGAGAGCCTGGCCCAGGAATTCCACGTTGTCTCCATCAAGCTTCCTGCAAGGGACACAGCCAGCCACAGGGCACCTCTCCAAATACCCAGTTCACGTTTCAAACTTAAAGATTTCTTCTCACCTCTTGCCTCCGCTCTGTAGAGCAGGAGGAAATCCAGTTAGGGGTGCTTCTAACCCACTCTCTGTGGCTGTGATTCAGTGTATTTTCCCTGCCTCCACGCCTCCTGTTGTCAGGGGTTCCTGGAAACATCTCCTCTAGGCGGATGTGTTTTCCCAGAGGAGCCGGGCGAGGACTGGGGGATGTATTCCTAACCCAGAACTCGGCTGTCTGCCAGAGCCACTCCCACCCTGGCTCCCTCCTCCCTCAACCGTAGCCTCTCAAAGAGAGGAGCCCCTCGGCTTTTTATCTCCTCCCATACTTCGCCAGGCCTTGTATAAAAATGCTAGGAAATATTTGCTTCGCTGCATGGTCATGCTCAAGGACTACCCCAAAAGCAAAGACGGGGGCCCTTCAGGGGAGGGCTTGTGCTCCAGAGCAGCTCAGGTAAGAGGAGGAGCCACAGATGGAAGCAAAGACATCATTGATGTTTAGGAGCCACAGGTGCCAACCTTGGACTAGACCTCTGCTTTTTTTTTTTTTTTGAGACAGAGTCTCACTCTATTGCCCTGGCTGGAGGGCAATGGCACAATCTTGGCTCACTGCAGCCTCCGCTTCCTGGGTTCAAGCGATTCTCCTGCCTCAGCCTCCCAAGTAGCTGGGACTACAGGCATGTGCCACCACGTCCAGCTAATTTTTGTATTTTTAGTAGAGATGAGGTTTCTCCATGTTGTCCAGGCTGGTCTCGAATTACTGGCCTCAGGTGATCTGCCTGCCTTGGCCTCGCAAAGTGCTGGGATTACAGCATGAGCCACCGTGCTCAGCCAAACCTCTTCTGCCTCAACCTGAATAAGGAGTGGGGAGTGGGGGATGGGCTCACAGGGGGTCCTGTCAATCACCCATGCCAAAATAGCTGATGTGCAGTTGGCACCATCCTTCCACTATTTTAATAAAATCGCCTTAACAATAAGCCCCCTTTGATATGTAAATTCTGACTTAATTCCATCCGTGTCATTATCAAAATGCCCACATGAAGCTCTTAAACATACACAGTCCTCTGCTAGGTGTGCTCAGAGAAGAGTGAGGTCAAAATGGATACCTTTGTACCCCTGCCCCTGCCTAACATAAGATTTCGAAGGCTCAGGCAATGAATGGCCCACGCATCAGGAGACTCATCAGATACCCCTGTTTTGGGGCCACAGGAGCAGGAAGTCACAGACAGTCCTTAGAGCTGGCAGTTTCCTTCTGTCCCCTGGGAGGGGGGCACTCTGCTGGGGAGCAGGACCAAGGTCCCTTCAATCCAGAGAATCCAGGACATGGCGGAGACGCAGGGGCTGGACGGGCTGGGGAGGCAAGGTGTGGGGAGGACCCCCAGAGCTGGGGACTTCATAAGCTTCCTCTGCTGAGGGATCTGCCACCTCCTATTTTTGGGAAGGGGAGAGGCCCCGGGACTCAGTCCAGCAGTGACCTCCTGGCATGGGGCTTTATGACACAAGGGAACACAAATCCAGAAAACAGGAGTAAGTTGTGCAACCCTGAGCTAAAGGCTCTGAATTTCCTCAATGGCTTGAAGAGGAGCCAACACATGGAAGGAGCCGGGAGGGATCCAAAGAACTGACACTCGCTCCTCATGACTCATTCTTCCACTCCCCGCGTGCCTCCTCCAGGCTAGGCCTGGGGCCCTGGGAGCACAAGCCCAGGCCACCATTCAGCCGGGAGCCCTCCAAAGGCTGGGGCTGCTGCCTCCTTCCTGCGCTCTCCCCAGAGCAACCTTCGCTGGACCCTGCACCTGGAGAGAGGCAGTAGGTCCCTGCTCTGCCGACTGTGTCCAGTGCCTCTGCCTGGGCTGGGGTTTGGCGAATGGGGAGGCAGGGGAGATGTAAACAAAGCTCCAGAGGTCAGATGACACGGCCGTGAGTTTGTACACCTAAGTGAGGGTGGTGCCCCTCAGCCCCCATCACTCATAAGTGAGGCTGGTCTGGGCACGGTGGCTCATGCCTGTAATCCCAGCACTTTGGGAGGCCGAGGCGGGCGGATCACTTGAGGCCAGGAGCTCGAGAGACCAGCTCCTGGCCAACATGGTGAAACTCTGTCTCTACTAAAAATACAAAAATTAGTCTGGCATGGTGGCACACACCTGTAGTCCCAGCTACTTGGGAGGGAGGCTGAGGCAAGAGAATCGCTTGAACCCGGGAGGTAGAGGTTGTAGTGAGCTGAGATTGCACCACTTCACTCCAGCCTGGGTGACAGAGCAAGACTCTGTCTAAAAAAAAAAAAAAGACTTTCCGGTGGCCCTTCTCCAGCTGGAGCTCAACATGCAGGTTTGGATGGATGAAGCGGATGTAGCCCCTGCTGCCCCTCCCTCTGCCTCCCACCGGCCCCTCACCTGTAGTACTCTATGTAGCCAGTCTGGTCGGATAGCTTGGTCAGCTCCATGGTGACTTCCCTCCACGTGGGCAGTCCTGAGAGCTGAACAACAACGCTGCCCGCCATCTGCTGTATGAACTTCAGGGTCTGCATGTAATCGCCCCGGGCAGCAAAGATCTCACTAAGCCGGGCCAGGTGCTGCTCTAGGTCCACCTTCATCTTCTGGGTAGTTCCGGAAACCTAGGGAGGAGCAGGGGGCAAAAGCCAGGGAGGTAAAGCTTCTGATTCTCATCCCGGAAGAGGTCTTTGCAGGCGGCAGAAGGTGGCCTGGCCAGGTGCGATAATTACGCTCACGCCTGTCATCCCAGCACTTTGGGAGGCTGAGGCAGGTGGATTGCTTGAACCCGGGAGTTTGAGACCAGCCTGGGCAACACAGTGAGACCCTGTTTCTACAAAAAAAAACCATAAAAATTAGCCAGGTGTGGTGGCATGTACCTGTAGTCCTAGCTACTTGGGAGGCTGAGGCAGGACGATCGCTCGGACCTGGGAGGCGGAGTCTGCAATGAGCCAAGATTGCACCATTGTACTCCAGCTTGGGCAACAAGAGTGAGACTCTGTCTCCAAAAAAAAAAAAGGTGACCTGGCCTGCTCAGGCACGAATGAACACACCATGTTGCCCCAGCCCTGAAGATCTCCAGCCTGTGCCCCTGGAGGAAGGACTGAAGACAGAGGCTGCCACTACCCGCCCAGCCCTCATGTTCCTCAAACCAGGGGGCAGTCCCTGAACTGGCCTTAACCAGGATGTGGGCTCCAAGAGACAGAATACTGGTGCCAGAGGAGCACACCACTGTGTGCTGGAGGCTGCGGCCAGGTCTAGCCTCTGGCGCTGGGAGTGCAGGCACATCCCTGCACTCTGGAGTCTCTGTTGCTGTCTACTAAGCAGGCTATCCTGTATGCTCACCACGTGGCCCCTGCTGTAAAGGGCTGGAATAAACGTATGCATTCATTACTATACCTTACTATATTTAGAGAGAGACACCCACATGGAGAAACCAACAAAATAATCCATTATTCTTTGAAGATTCTCTTAAAACTTTCAACACTTAGGCTTACGAATTCTCTTCTAGAGAAACAGACTCTATGTTGCTACCTTGACCTTGTATCCCCACAACAGGATTGCTAATTGTTCTATCAGAGAAAGGCTTTGTTGTGGCGCTAGCAGCAGCACACCGCGTCCTGAACACTGAGTGAAGGCAGGACAATGGGACTTTGCAAAAACAAAAACAGCTGCGATCCCCTCTCTGATGAGCCTGGACATGAGGCAGGAGGAGGAAACCCGCGCCTTCTCCCTGTATTCACATCCTCCCCTGGACGTGTGTCCCGCTGGGTGGGCAGACAGGCTCCTGTCCCTTGGCTGAGCCCTAAGGGCCTGGGGTTGAGTGGACCCTAAAGGAAACATCTGCCAATGCAAAGACAGAAATAGAAAGTTGATGGCTGGCCATCCAGTTGAAAACATTATTTATTTATTTTTAAAGGTGCTGCTCCTTGCAGAGCAGGGCTACCCTATAGGCAGTGTTCCAGAGTAGCCTGCCCATCCATTTCTTCCTTTCTTTCTTTCGTTCCTTCCTTCCTTCCTTTGTTTGTTTTTTGAGATGGAGTATCACTCTGTCTCACCCAGGCTGGAGTGCAGTGGTGCGATCTCGGCTCACTGCATCCTCTGCCTCTTGGGTTCAAGCGATTCTCCTGCCTCAGCCTCCCTTCCAAGTAGCTAGGACTACAGGCGCGCACCACCATGTGCGGCTAACTTTTGTATTTTTAGTGGAGACAGAGTTTCACCATGTTGGCCAGGCTGGTCTCTTGAACTCCTGGCCTCAAGTAATCCACCCACCTCAGCCTCCCAAAGTGCTGGGATTACAGGCATGAGCCACCACGCCCGGCCGTGTCCCTCCATTTCTAATGGTCCAAGTGGTCGACCCTTACTGGCTTTTGAAGAGCACAGGCAGGGCTCGTACTGGTTAGCTGGGCTTTCCCACAGCCCAGACCCAGGGTGCCTGCAGAGCCCCGGGGCGCAGCTCGGCAGCCTGAAGCACTTGCTGGCAGCGAGGGGAGAAAGGGCTTTGTTGTTCTGAAACTGTCACGCTAAACCAAGAAGCACAACGGGCCGGGACAAGGGCAGTGTGCACTAATCCACATTCGGCAGCCTTCAGCTCCCACAGGTCTGGGAGATAAAAACATAGAAGAAGAGGCAGAAACTTCCCACAGTGAGATCAGCGAGGCTGATGAGATTCCACTCTTGGAGGCAAACGGTGTTCTCTGTGTTACTGGGACTTCACATCAGCTGTGTGGCCTTTTACATCTGCGCTACGCTGGGAGTTCCTGGTTCCAGAAAAGAGAATGGCTCTCTTTGTTTCATTTTGTTTTCTTTTTTCAGTGTCAGCGGCTTGTTCCGTTTTCTGGCTTATGCTTGGTTCTTACGAGCTGGTTAAGGACTAAGAGATACCAGTGTACAGAGACACTCTACCCTGTACAGATTCAACAGCCCGTAGCACAGGGGAAAAAGACCTCATACCACGTAAAAGTACATTCAGTAACTAAATGTCATGCTAGTACACTTGGCTGTTCAATTTAATAAGATAAATGTACAACCACTTTGGAACCACTGATAACAAATGGCACTATTGTCAAAGAATAGTGCCATTCTGAACAAACCCAGTAATAGGTGACATTTCTATATTTCTATATTATATCAAACAAACTTCAGAGCAAAGAGCTGTTAAAAATTATCTGTAAACTTTTTCTGTAAGGCCACTTGTTTTCTCCTTCACAGTTCTACATTTTTAACTTCTCCATTTCTTAAACTCCTCCTCGGGGGGACGGGGGAAGAAGGCAATATTTGTATTTGTCATGCCTTCTCTTTTTTCCTGATATTTTCCCACAGGAAACAACACTAAAAAATTGTTTTTTTGAGATGGGGTCTCGCTATGCTGCCCAGGCTGTTCTTGAACTCCTAGGCTCAAAAGATCCTAAAATTTTAAAAAATAAGAATAACAGCAGTGACCGACTTACAACTCCCCACCACTTCTCCATACCATCCCCAATTCCTTAAAGGTTCGGGACATAGCACTCCCCCCAGGCACAGGTGGGATGACCCAGAGATGGAATCAGGCTCTCTCTCATGGGAAGCTCTGGGAACAGGAGGGACAGGCCAGCTTTCCAGGCTGGGCAGAGTTAGGGACGAGCTACAGGTGGCGGAGACCATGGTCTAGAGGAAAGAGCAGTTCTCAAGTGTGGTCCTGGGACCAGGGGCATAAGATGCACCCCCTGAGAACTCCTTCACAAACGCAAAAGCACTCAGCCCTGCCCCAGGCCCACTGAATCAGAACCTCTGGGCGTGGGGCCCTGCAATCAGTGTTTACCAACCCTTCCAGGTGATTCTGATGCAAGCTCAAGTATGAAAACCTCTGGGAGGGAGGACTCTCCCGCACTCAGTGAGCTTATCAGGAAAGGTGGATGGGCCAGGTCAGTGGAGGTAAGGGGCTAAGACCAGAAGGCCTGGGTTCTGGCTTCTGCTCTGAAACATACATATTTTCAATCTCGGGCCAGCAATGCAACCTCCCTGTGCCTCAGTTTCTTCACCTGAGGGCTGCCCATCAGCCCGCTGCGGGCTCACATGAGGGAGCCTGGAGGGGCCATGCTGGCTACCAGGTACAGGAAGTTTTGGTATCCTGAAATGACTCCTCTCTACTCCCCCAGACTGGGGTGTGCAGCCCTCCCAGGACCGCCTGATCCCTGGACCACCGCCCCTACCCACCAAGGCACAGGTGTCCCTATAGTTGGACACGCATAGGTGTGGGGCTTCCAGTCTAGGAAAGGGGGACTTGGAGCAGGGCCCAACCCACTCTGTGGGTGCATCCCTAGAGGGCCTCTTGTTGGCCACTCACCTGCATGATCTGGGCTCTGGCAAGGCCCAGGTTCAGGTCCTGCCTGACTTGCCCACGAGTCCCCCACCTGCCTCTGCCGCCCACAGCATCCCAGATTCCAGCCTCCCGTTGACCCCAAGGTGATTACAGTAATTACTCTAATAGCACTCAGAATCACAGTCATACAGTTGAGCGTACTTGATAGTCTACCGGCACCTTCACTGACATTATTTCACTAATGTCATTTACCTGATATCTGGACTTCCCCCTTGGATCTGGGAAGTCTTTTAGATCTGCTGCCTCCCCTGGAGCCCTAAGGACTAGTGTGCTGGGTGTCTACCCTGAGGACCAAACCAGCCTCACAGGTCCTAGCAAGGACCCAGGTGCTGCCTTTCCACCTGGAGGCAGCAGCTATATCTGGGCCCTAGGGGTTCATGCCAGAGGGGGAGGTGGCCACCCACAGGCTGAAGGTAGCTATGGGCTGGCTGGACCAGTGTGAAGCCCCGGGACTCCTGGCCTCACTTCTCGGTAACAATGGCGAGGATGAGGGGCTGATCTCCAGAGACACAGAACCTGTCCCTTTGGGGACACGGGGGATTTCAGAGAGTGGGGCTTGCTGTGAAATGTCCAAACCTGGCCCCGGAGCACCATCAGGCCGTGGCGTGGAAGGCCCCAGCATGGGGGCTCGTTCCCAGCTCCCCTCCCTGGTGGCTCTCATCCTGTGGGACAGGGACTTCTAGGACTTGACATTTTCCCATAAGGGAGTTCGGGAGTTTCTCTAAACCCGTGAAGGTCATGGCCCTGGGGCCTTCCTGGGCAGGGCAGGGCAGGGGATTTTCCGCTCGTGGCTAGGTTGTTCCTCTAGCGATCCTGGTGCTGGTGGGTGAAGAGGAGGCAGGCAGCAGGATGGCAGGGAGGGGCAGAGAGAGCCTAGAGGGCAGTGACCATGGGACCCTTCCCCCCCAGGGCCTGGGGCAAGGGTGGGTGCCCAGAGGGAGAGTTCTCCCCAGCCAGGCCAGGTGACACCTCTGCCTCCCAGGCCGGAGCTGGCTGTCACTCAGTTCCTCCATCCCAGCCGCCCCAGCTCACCACGCAAGGCTGTTCCAGACTAGCATCTACACACCGGGAATCAGCCCTCAGCTATGGGGACGGGTTCCAGTGGACACGGGTGGCCGAATGAACTCTGCAAAGGACCAGGGCCCCTGGTCTGGTAGCCACCCTCAGCCCCTTTCTGGAGGCCAGGGCCTCCTCCCACAATTGACTTGGGCACGGAGGAGCAGCACGGCTGTCTCTTTAAGGTGACAACCCCGATCCCCCTTGTTGACTGAGGGATTAAAGCCTTAGAGGAGCTTAAGGGAGCAGGAGGGGGGCAAATGGGGTCCAATCCTCTTCTGGAGGATGCTGGGGCAGTGGCCAAATTCTCCTGTTGGGGCTGGATTTTGTGGCAGAGGCTGCTCTGATAAGCAGCTGAAAAGGCCGGGTGCTTAGAGTGAGAATGACGTGTGTAGGGGCCAAGGTCAAAATGTGGGAAAACTCCAATTCCAGGCAGCTGGGGTAGAAAAGGCAGAGGCAGTTTTCAGGGAACCAAGTCCTCAGATGTCCACCCTCATCGTGCTCCTCCCTGGGCCATGTCTCCGGCAGAGGGGTGGCAGCCCCAGCAAAAGGCTCGTGGTATCAAGCAGCCTCTGCCACAAAATCCAGCCCTGGCTTAGCAGAGTAGCCTTCCCCTTCTCCTAAGAGTCTGACATGTCCTCTGGCCAGGCCAGGCCAGCGCATCCTTCACTGTGAGCCCCCACCTGGAGTCACCGCCTGGAAGCCAGAGCCCCAAAGAGCTGGGGCAGGTCTCCAGCACCCACGCCATGGGGCTCTTCAATTGTGTGTGTGTGTGTGTGTGTGTGTGTGTTTTAATTTTTGAGATGGAGTCTCATTCTGGTGCCTAGGCTGGAGTGTGATGGTGTGATCTTGGCTCACTGCAACCTCCGCCTCCCAGGTTCAAGTGATCCTCCTGCCTCAGCCTCCCGGGTAGCTGGAGCCACACCACCACTGGCTAATTTTTGTATTTTTGGTACAGACAGGGTTTTGCCATGTTGCCCAGGCTGGTCTCAAACTCCTGAGCTCCATATGCCTTGGCCTCCCTCAAAGTGCTGGGATGACAGGAGTGAGCCACCACACTCAGCCCCCAGTTGTTTCTGAAGACAGTTTTTTCCTCTTGGCATCTCCTGGACCCCGCAATACTCGATATGCAGCACTTAAAATGAACACAAAAAATGCAGTGGAGCTGATTTTCTACATTCAAGGTCTCCTCTGACATATCAGAAAGTGCTGAGCTTGCTGGAAAATGGGGTTTGATCCCACAGCTGCCTCGTTTGGTCCTCACCCCCATTCCTGCCACCCCTCCGGGCTTGGGGCGCACAGCTGCCCATTTGCCTCAGCAGAGGCAACTGCAGCACAGGCAGGGGTCAGCCCTCGGGCACCACACCCCCTCTGTGTGTAGCTGAGCCAGCTGGGATCTGACGGGGGCCCTTACTCTGACCACACTGACCTTGTGGGCTGTGCCTGTACCCGGCCAGCTGCCTGGGAGCCTTACCAGAGCATCGATCCCAGAGAAGGTGTGGTTGGCGTCTTCCAAGGAGTACATCAGCTGGTACACCCCATCGTTGGTCTCGCTGTTTCCATAGAAACCAACGCCCACTGCAGCACTACAAGCAAGATCCCAAACAGAGGTTAGAGGTGATACGCAGAGGAGAATGTTTGTTTATATTAAAAAATAAGCTTAGGGCTGCGTGCAGTGGCTCATGCCTGTAATCCCAGCTACTCAGGAGGTTGAGGCATAGAATTGCTTGAACCCAGGAGATGGAGGTTGCAGTGAGCCAAGATTGCGCCACTGCACTCCCTCCTGGGTGACAGAGCTAGACTCTGTCTCCAAACAAAACAAAACAAAACAAACCTTGTTTTTAGAGCAGTTTTAGGTTCACAGCAAAATTAAGTGGAAAGTAGAGAGTTCCCATATATCTGCTGCCCCACACATGCACAGCCTCCTACTCTACTCGAAAATCCTGCGGCAGAGTGGCACATCCGTTACAAGCGATAAGCCCAGATGGACACACCGTCGTCACCCAGAGCCCACAGCTTCCAGTAAGGTTTCTTCTCAGCATTGCACATTCTATAGGTTTGGACATATGGATAAAGACATGCATTGGCTGGGTGCAGTGACTCGCGCCTGTGATCCCAACACTTGGGGAGGCTGAGGCGGGTGGATCGCTTGAGCTCAGGAGTTGGAGACCAGCCTGTGCAACATAGTGACATCCTACCTCTGCAAAAAATTTTAAAAAATGAAAAAATGATGTGTCCACCTTTACCATATCATACAGGGTAGTTTCACTGCCCTAAAATTCCTCTGTGCTCTGCCCATTAAGTTCCCCCTCCCCTGTAATCCCTTTATTTTTATTTTTTTGAGATGGAGTTTTGCTCTGTTGCCCAGGCTGGAGTGCAATGGCATGATCTCGGCTCACTGCAACCTCCGCCTCCTGGGTTTAAGCGATTCTTCTGCCTCAGCCTCCTGAGTAGCTGGGACTACAGGCACGTGCTACCACGCCCAGCTAATTTTTTGTATTTTTAGTAAAGTTGGGGTTTCACCATGTCGGCCAGGCTGGTCTCAAACTCCTGACTTCAGGTGATCACCACCCCACCCCACCGCCGCACCCCGTCGGCCTCCCAAAGTGCTGGGATTACAGGCGTGAGCCACTGCACCTGGCCTTAATCCTTAGTTTTCCCTTTTCCAGAGTGCCATAGAGTTGAAATGATACAGTGTGGAACATTTTCAGATTGGCTTCTTTCACTTAGTAATAGGGATTTAAGATTCCTCCGTGACTTCTTCTGGCTTGGTAACTCATTTTTTTCAGTGCTGAATAATATTTCATCATCCAGATGGACCACAATTTATCCATTCACCTATTAAGGACATCTTCGTTGCTTCCAAGTTCTGGCAATTCTGAATACAGCTGCTATAAACATGTATGGAGAGCAGGTTTTTGACTATAGCTGAGGATCTCTTTCCTGGGGGCCGTGTTGAGTAGGCAGATGACAACTCACATTCTGGCAGGTGGGGCTGGGGGTGGGGAGGTGAAGGTTCAGGGTCCCTGGCAAGCTGGCTCTACAGGACATTTTATTCGGGCAATAGGAAAATACCGTCCTCCAGTCCTGTGACTCCAAAAGGTGGGAGACTGTAGCCAGCCCTAGGGATGCTGATGCAGTAGGTCTGAGGAGGGCCCAGGTACCTGCACTTTTACCAGCCCCCAGGGGATTCTGACACAGGTGGGCCTGGGAAGCGCTGAGGTCTACTGAGATCACACACTCAGTGCTGACCTTGGGTCTCTCTTGACACCTCCAGGGATTGTGGACTCCCTCGACATCCTCCACCCTTTCCCCCACAGGCCACCCATGTGACAGTCTGTTCTTCCACTGTGAAGTCTCAGCTTTTTTTTTTTTTTTTGAGACGGAGTATCGCTCTGTCGCCCAGGCTGGAGTGCAGAGTGGCCCGATCTCAGCTCACTGCAAGCTCCGCCTCCCGGGTTTATGCCATTCTCCTGCCTCAGCCTCCGGAGCAGCTGGGACTACAGGCGCCCGCCACCTCGCCCGGCTAGTTTTTTGTATTTTTTTTTAGTAGAGACGGGGTTTCACCATGTTAGCCAGGATGGTCTCGATCTCCTGACCTCGTGATCCACCCGTCTCGGCCTCCCAAAGTGCTGGGATTACAGGCTTGAGCCACCGCGCCCGGCCTAGTCTCAGCTTATAGAATGTTCCTTCTTCTACTGAGATGACACCTGCCTCCTTAAGCCACTCATCCGCTGGATCTTCGTTTGTCTTCTAGGACAGCCTGGAAGAAGTTTCCAATTCTGCATGGTGCCCCATCAGACAGCTGAACCTGGCTTCTTCATAACCCGCTCACCTCGTGCTCTCCAAGTGGGACAGGTGTCCTGCTTGGGGCTAAGGTCTCCAGACCCTTGCCCATGCCATCACCGTCCTCTAGATGATTGGTTAATGTCACTCTTAAATGTGGCCTGAGTGGGTCACTCAAGTCCAGGTTGTTCATCAGTTCTGAGCGCAGTGGGGCTCATGCCTTAGGTCCTCCACTTCCCGGGGCACTGAGCTAACTTGCACCCACCCTGGTTCCCCCTCCGCTCCCCGCTCCGCTCCCCCCTCTGCCGATCTTGTGGTCTACAAACAGCCCCTGAATTTCTTCCCAAGAATTGCTGTTAAGCCCAGTCTCTCCTCCTTCCTATAGTGCTGTATTGATTTTTGTTTTGTTTTAACCAAAAGCAGAACTTTATCCCTGTGAAATCTCATCTAGTTGGTTTTAGTCCAACATTCCAGCATGAACAAATCATTTCAAATCTTGACTCTTGTCATCCATCATATTCCATCTGACCCGCACCACTTGAGACCATCTGAAGACTGATTAAGCAGCCTCCTGAGTTTTCATCCAAAATGCTCATTTGGTTTGGGGTGGGGGGATGTGAATGTACACGTCCACACTTATATTTGTTCTTTTGTTCTTTAAACAAGACAGGATCTAGGATGGAACCCCCTGGAGGGCTGTGATAGAAACCTCCTGCCGGGCGCAGTGGCTCACGTCTGTAATCCCAATCCCAGCACTTTGGGAGGCCGAGGCGGGTGGGTCACCTGAGCTCAGGAGTTGAGACCAGCCTGGCCAACATGGTGAAACCTCGTCTCTACTAAAAATACAAAAATTAGCTGGGCATGGTGGCACGTGCCTGTAATCGCAGCTACTCGGGAGACTGAGGCAGGAGAATGGCTAGAACCCGGGAGGAGGAGGTTGCAGGGAGCAAAGATTGCACCATTTCACTCTAGCTTGGGCGACAGAGCAAACTCCATCTCAAAAAAAAAAAAAAAAAGAAAAAAGGAAAAAAAGAAACCTCCCTCCAGGGCGCCCTCGACTCCTAATTCAGTGTTTTTCAGGATGTGGTCCTCGGACCACAGGAACAGAATCACCTGGGGAGCCTGTTAAGTGCGGATAAGCAGCCCGGCCCATTCCATCAGTGTGGTCTGGGAATGTGCCTTTTAGAATGAGGTTCCTGCATCATCCAAGATGGGGGGCGGGAGACATTAAAAAAAATGAGGTTCCTGCATGAATCACGTGTCTCTGTCTCTCTCTCTCACACACCCCCTCTGCAGTTTAGAAATCCACTGCATTAAGTCAATATTCATCGGATTCAGCCAGAGTTGTGTAACTAGCTTTGAACCCAGTCAAATGCACCATCATGCAAAATGCAACCTGTTTTTTCCACGGTATCCACACAGAGGTGAGGAGCTTCACCGAGCGCTCAGCTGAGATATTCATACATTACATGAATTGTCTTTCCATGATCCTCCAATTTGTAACTTTATTTAAAAGAAAATGAACCAATTGTATTGTGCTCTGAGAAGCCCTTTTGTCGACTCGTGTTCATCCTTTTCTAGCTCTCTGAGCCAGGATTTAGTGTTTTCCGGGGATTCAATATGAAGCCAGGGCTTTCCCAACCTTCTCATTCTCTCGGGCCCTGTGGGTTTATCAGTGATGGCCCAGGAGGGGCTGTGAAATTACGCCTCATCTTTGGGGATCAGAAATCACCTTGGGGCTCAAGCCTGTAATCCCAGCACTTTGGGAGGTTGAGGCGGGTGGATCACCTGAGATCAGGAGTTCGAGACCAGCCTGGCCAACATGGCGAAACCCTGTCTCTACTAAAAATACAAAAATTAACCGGGCATGGTGGTGAGTGCCTGTAATCCCAGCTACTCGGGAGGCTGAGGCAGGAGAATCTCTTGAACCTGGGAGGCAGAGGTTGCAGTGAGCTGAGATCGCATCACTGCACTCCAGCCTAGGAGACAGAATGAGACTCCACCTCAAAAAAAAAAAAAAAGAAAAAAGAAATCGCCTTGGCTGTTTAATGAGGGTCTCCTGGTCCCTCCTGGGGTCATTGGTCCCGCCTGGGCCATGGGAAAAACTGTTCTGCTTGACAAGAATAAGTGAGTTGGTGGTGTTGCCTTCCCCCGGTGTGTTCACACCACTCTTTCCCCAATATAAAATCACTACCCTCCCCCTAAAATAGAGGAGCACTAAGAGGTGTATCCTCGTATCCCTTTTGCTTTTTCAGGAACCCCTTGTTGGTCTTCTGTGGATTCAATCCCCCACTTTCAGGTGGAACCATATCAGCAGAGCTCATCTGTCCTCCCACCTCAGTCCCCCAGCCTTTACCTCCATCCCTTCTCCTGCTGCTGTCCCGACTCTCCTTCCTGCCCCTCCCATAACTCACCAATCTGGCTGTTCCTGTGTCCCAGTGGACACAGCTCCAATGAAGGTGACCAATGACCCCCCTGCCACTATACCTGAGGGCTTTTCCCAACCCCTCTCCCACACGCAGTCATCAGCCTGGGTCCTCTTCCTGGAACACGCCGCCCCGTGACTCCTGTGCCCTTGTGGCACTCCCGGCCCTTCCTGGTGGGACACTCTTTCCTGGTCTCCTTCACAGGCACCTTTTGCGTCCCAGCCATGAAACACTGTGCTTCCTCCAGGCTTGGCCCCGGCCCCCTTCTCACTCTGTGCTTCCTACAGCAGGCCACCTGTGTGTGCGACTTCCACATTGGCCACCCTCAGGATCCTGGCTTTATAACTCCAACTCCACTTGGATGTTTCAAAGGCACCTTAAACTCAATCTGTGTACAACCAAACTGTTGTTTGGTCTGCTGCTCTTCCGGATCCCCGCCAATGTCCCGTGCCTTGGAGGATGGCACCGCCACCCCATCTTGGGGCTTAAGCCAGAAACCTGCAGATCAACTTCAGCAGCTCCTCCCTGAACCTCCCTGGCCGACTCTTCCTCTGTGCACTCCCCTCTGGTCACTGCCCACGCGTGGGTGTAAGCCCGCCGCTCTCCAACTGGGCCTCCCTGATGGCCTGAGTTTCACTCTTGCCCACGTCTATGCGACCCTCTGCCTGGACCTGTCCCTCCTCTGTCCCCTGCCCTGTTCTCCATCACAGGGGGCTGATCCCTCACACTGAATGTCTCCGGCTCCCCTGGCAGCTGGCTTCTGCTGATGGAGGTGCTGGTAGGAGACTGGAGGTGGTGGTAAGGCAGCCAGGGCCCTGCTCCCCTCGTTCTGCAGCCGCTGATAGGCAGGCTGTGTGGCTCCAACTTCGCTGGTGACATAGCCTCTCCCTCTGTCCCTCTGGCCTGCAGGTGGTGGTGGCTCCTGCTGTTGCTAATCCCAGGGTCGCTCACTGCCCTCATTAGGCCTCTGAGCTCTTCAGTGGCCCAGCGGCCATTTCTTCGCATTCAAGTCCCGCTGTTCCGAATACTCCCTCCAGCCTTGCTTCCATTCAATCCGAGTTATCCGGTGACCCTACCTCTTTGCAGAGCCCTTGCAGTGGCTCCCCTGACTCTTAGAATAAAGACCCCAACCCCTGACAAAGCCTATGAGTTGTTCCATGGTTTGGATCCCATCTTCCCCGTGTCTTCCGACCCCATGACACTCTCCCCATCCCACTGCCACTCACTGCTCACCCCGACCCTTGGCAGTGCCCCCAACCCCCTCATCTGCTCCCTCTGCTCTGGCCACATTGGCTTCCTTTAGCCCCATGCTTGCTCCCGCCTCAGGGCCTTTGCACGTTTCTCTTCCCTCTGCCTGGAGGTGTCTCCGCCTCCCCTGCCCCTACCTTTGCCAAGTTAATGCCTTCTCATCCTATGGGTTTGGGTGCCCTTGTCACCCAGCAACGCCTGGACTCAGGTGGGCCATCCACTTCTATGCCTGCTCCTTTCCTTCAGAGCTCTCTCCTTAGTTTTTTGGTTTTTCTTTACTTTCCTTTTTTCTTTTTTTTTTTGAGACAGAGTCTGTCACCCAGGCTAGAATGCAGTGGTGCAATCTCAGCTCACTGCAACCTCCATCTCCCAGGTTCAAGCAATTCTCCTGCCTTAGCCTCCCAAGTAGCTGGGGTTACAGGCACCCGCCACCACGCCTGGCTAATTTTGTATTTTTAGTAGAGATGGGGTTTCACCATGTTGGTCAGGCTGGTCTCGAACTCCTGACCTCAAGTGATCCACCCACCTTGGCCTCCCAAAGTGCTGGGATTATAGGCATGAGCCACCACGCCCGGCCCTCTCTCCTTAGTTGTAATGATTCAAAGCAAACTGGTGCACAGTTCTCAGCCTCTGCTGACAGATCATGAAAGCAGACTTGGTGCCTGTTTTCTTACTGCTGGTGCCCTCTTGCCTAGTACAAGTAACGCCCAGAATGTTGTGGGACGGATCCTGCCATGCACATTCCTTCCACTTTGAGATTCCCCTACACTGCTGATAATCCTTCCTTATTGGAAGAATGGACTCCTCATGCCATTCTTACCGTTCCAAAGTATTCTTCAAAAACAAGTTTGTCGTGTGTGTAACTGTGTGTGTGTGTAACAGACAGGGTCTCACGTCACCCAGGCTAGAGTGCGGGAGAGCGATCACGATCCGCCTCCTGGGCTCATCATCCTCCTGCCTCAGTCGGGACTACAAGCACGCATTACCAGGCCTGGCTCATTTTTGTAGAGGTGAAGTCTTACCACATTGCCCAAGGTGATCTCGAACTCCTGAGCTCAGGTGATCCACCCGCCTCAGCCTCCCAAAGTGCTGGGATTACAGGCGTGAGCCACTGCCCGGCCATGCGGGAGGATTTTTAACACCACAGTCACTTCTCAAAGCTCTTCCAGTCTACTGGGAACCACACTCGTCTATGACCTCTCGGCCTGTCCAGAACTCTGTCCTCTGAGTCTCTTATTTCAGCCCCGGCCATGTATTGCAGCAGCCTTGATCCCCTTCCTTGTGCTTAGAGCTTTGTCCGCCCCACAAGGCTGCTTTAGCGTCTCGCCTGCGTTTTGGCTTAGGTGAGCCTCACACTACAGGCAGGACGAGATCAAGAACATCTTCCAACAGAGAAGAAAATCGCAGTGGCAAGGTGAGCTGCCTGGGTATGAAAGCCCAGGCATCCTCACCCCCAGGCTGACCAGGACCTGCCTGGCTGCCAGCCTGCTGCCGGGTAGTGGGAGACCCTACTCTTTGGGGTGACGACACCCAAGAAGCATCTCTGTGTGGACACTAGAGGCTTTTGGAAAAGCTTCTATAGATTTAAAAACAAGAAAAATGCAACAACTCCTGAAAACAGCCAGCATGCCTGTGGACGCTGGCTGGGGTGGAGTGGCTAGGCAGTGTGGTGGGCTGGGTACGGACTCCTGCTATGGGAATTATAAATCCTCACTTTAAGGCCCAGCATGGTGGCTCATGCCTGTAATCCCAGTGCTTTGGGAGGCTGAGTGGGGAGCAGCGTCTGAAGTCAGAAGTTGAAGACCAGCCTGAGCAACATAATCTCAGCCCAGGTGTGGTGGCTCACGCCTGTAATCCCAGCACTTTTGGAGGCTGAGGTAGGTGGATCACTTGAGCTCAGGAGTTTGAGATCAGCCTGGGAAACACGATGAAACCTTGTCTCTACCAAAAACAAACAAACAAACAAAAAACACAAAAAACCCAGGCATGGTGGTCTGCACCTGTAGTCCCAGCTACTTGGGAGGCTGAGGTGGGAGGATTGCTTGAGCCTAGGAGTTTGAGGCTGCAGTGAGCTGTGATCACACCACTGCACTCTGGCCTGGGTAACAGGGTGAGACCCCATCTTATAAATAAATAAATAAAAGAAATTCTCACCTCCTCATCCAAAGCAAAGAAGAACTGGCTAATGACATTAAAGGCTATTGATCTTACAAGAAGATGGAATTGGTTTGTGCTGGAGTCAGACTATCTTCTGATCTCACAGACCCAGGGCAGCAGCTGGCAGGGGACAGGGACACAGACTGGAGATGCCCAGTGTCGGTGCAGAAATGCTGCCTGCAAGGCTGCTGGGCACAGGACAAACTCACATTGGGGCAGGGTTTGGGGGGCCACTTGGGAGACCTTTCTGGAGACCCCATCACCACCCCGGGCATCTGATTCCTGATGCTTGGTAAGAAAAGGGACAACATTCATTTGGGGACAAGCTTTTCCATCAAGGTAGCCAGAGCTCAGTCAGGAGAACATGGCCAGACAGTCTCTGGCCCCTTGCAGAGTGAGTCACATACCCCAGGCCCAGAGCCCAGGGACACTCACCAGCAGACGAGCCCGGCCACCACGGCTGTCCAGGTGATGCAGCAGGAGTGGCGCTGCTTGGTCTGTACCGCATCGTCTTGCTGGCAGCAGCACGCGCAGACCAGGTAAGCCACAAGAAAGATGAGGTTCAGGCCCAGGCAGACTGCAGCCACCAGCCCCAGGAACAGCAGCGACTGGAAGAGAGCAGAGGCCTGTTGTCACTCTTCATCCCTGCAGTGCGGGGCTCTGGAAGTGCCCTGTCCTCGAGCCCCGAGTGCCCCACCGCCTGGGCTGCAGATAGGACCAGAGCTGAGCTGTGTCTCTCATCCATCCTTCCAAGCTCCACCTATGGTTCAAGTTCCTACTCTGTCAACAGAGGGCCCGGCGCTAAGGCACTTGGGTGGGAGTAATGGAGGGCACGAGGCCAAGTGGTGGGCCTGGTGGTCAGTGAGGGAAGGGTGTCAGATCTGGTGTCCAGTTTCTGGTTCAGACCCTGGATGAAGATAAGGACCAGGTCCTGCTGATGAAGAGTCTGAGTCACTCAGGAGATAAGGCAGGAATCCCCGGCGGGCAGGCAGGGCTGTGGGTGGTGAGCTCTATGGCTTAGGGAGACAGGCAAGGAGAGCGATGCCGTCCAGGACCAGAGTACCTAGAGGCCTTGGGCGCTGAGTGCCACTGAGACAGGGCCTGGAAGGACAGGCCTCTTCCATGCAAGGACCCCACTGTCCCAGTCTGGGCATCATCCTTTACCCAGAATGTGAAGAGCTTGTTCTAGGTATTGGGTCCATCCTGAGAATCGAGAAGCCAGCTCCATGCTTGGGGGATGCGTGAGGGGGCGGGACAGTCAGGATAGGCAACTTATGGAGTCCCTTCCACTGCACCCCAACAGGGACAGCTGAACCTCCAGGGCCAGCAGCAGCAAAGCCAGAATTCTGAGGGGGTCGGAGGGGCCTGAGGCCTGCCTAGCACCTCGGGGTCCTGCAATGGGAGCTACTGTCTATCAGGAGGCCCGGTGCCACTCTCTGCTCACTCATCTCTTGATTTTGCCAGATGGGCACCAGATGGCACTGAGATTGGCGGTTGCCAGCCAGGGCTGGACCTGGCTCTAAGTCAGGCTCCTGAGCTGACAGCCGTCCCTGCCTCCCATGCACCCCCGATAGGGGTTCCTGGTCCCGAATCCCTAGTGCCCCAGGGGGGCTGCCTAGGAAAGCCTGTTTCAGGGAGCCCTATGCAGGAGGTGGCCATCGGCAGCAAGTGGGACTCCGGGACCCTGAGGTCTAAGGGGGAGATGAGACTAGTGCAGCGGCAGGCACACACAGAGACAGCCCCGACAAACCAGGGCCGGGCTCTGCAGTCCGAGGCTTTGGGGCAGTTTTCCAGGGGGACAGACACCTACTGGAGGCCATGCTGCTAGCCCTGTGAGACGCGGGCAGACCTTCGGGCCTCTGGCACGGGCTGCTCTGCTGGTCACTCTTGGCTGACAGACTTCTCAGCTGAAGTGGTGGGGGCAGCCCAGGAAAAGGCAGGAGAGATGGCTCACTTGGGAGGGGAACAGATGGGTTTGACTTAAAATGTGGCTTTATGCCAGGTGTGGTGGCTCACGCCTATAATCCCAGCACTTTGAGAGGCCCAGGTGAGAGGATTGTTTGAGCCCAGGAGTTCAGGACCAGTCTGGGCAATATAGGGAGACTCTGTCTCTACAAAAAAATAAAAAATAAAAATTAGCTGGGCATGGTGGCCTGTGCCTGTAGTCTCAGCTACTCAGGAGGCTGAGGTGGGAAGATCGCTTGAGACTGGGAGGTTGAGGCTGCAGTGAACCATGATTGTGCCACTACACTCCAGCCTGGGTGACAGAGGGAGATCCTGTCCCCCCCCCCCCAAAAAAAAAAAGTGGCAGCTGGGAAGCCAGGGCCCAGTAGATCTGGGCACCTCCTTCTCCCAAAGACTTCACAGTGTGACAGGGGGCTGGGGCTGGGGCTCTCCCTGCCTGGACCACTCATGAGCACAGCCTGTCCCTGGGACTCACCCCAGCAAGCCCAGGGGTAGAAAGAGATGGTGGAAAGTCACTGCCCCTCTTCTGGCCCTCAGTCCATGCCCCTTCGCCAGAGGGCCCTACAGCCCAGGCCAAGGCAGAGGAGGCCAAGATAGCTGGGAGTTGAGAGCCTCTTTCCTCAAAGTGAAGTTTACCAGCCCGTGACCTGTGGCCCTGACATCTTCTGGGAGCTTGTCAGAGGTGCAGAATCCCAAGCCCCACCCTGAAACCAGTGAATCAGACCCGCCTCTAGAGATGATCCCAGGCAATATATATTCCATTAAAGTCTGGGCAGCACACAGCAGTTCTCAAACTTTTTCCAATAGCTTAACGTTTTCTTCGAACTGACTTGCTTAGCAGAGCCCTGAAACACAGAGCTCCATCTGAATAAGGAATGGATAGAAATGTCACGTTTTGTCCTGGCCGCCCCTTGGTAGCCCCTGAGGGCCCTCCGCTAAAGCCCAGGGATCCTCCCAACCATTTGTAAACCAGCGAGGCCTGGTGGCATGCACTTGTAATCCCAGCTACTGGGAGGCTGGGATGGGAGGATCACTTGAGCCCAGGAGTTTGAGTCTAGCCTGGGCTAGGCAACAACATACCCTTAAAAAAAATAACTCAACCCCCCCCAAAAAAAACCCCAAACCAAGCCAAAAAACAATTTGCAAACCATTGTGCAATATGCATGCCATGACCCAGCAATTCTGCTTTACAGAAAGGAGGGCTGTGTCCCTCTGAAGACACACAAATGTTCACAGCAGCTTCACACAGCAGTCACAGCCAACACTCAAAAGGACAAAAACGTCCAACAAGAGAAAAGATACAGAACATGTGTCATAGTCTCAGAATACTACACAGCCATGAAAAGGAAACTAGCCACACATGACGATATTTCTGGGACGAATATCCCAGAAGTCAGGTTGAGGGAGAAAGCCAGACACGGAACAGCAGAGACCGTATGGATTAATTTATATGAAGTTTGGCCGGGCGTGGTGGCTCACGCCTGTAATCCCAGCACTTTGGGAGGCCGAGGTGGGCGGATCACAAGGTCAGGAGATCGAGACCATGGTGAAACCCCGTCTCTACTAAAAATAGAAAAAATTAGCCGGGCGCAGGGGCGGGCGCCTGTAGTCCCAGCTACTCGGGAGGCTGAGGCAGGAGAATGGCGTGAACCCGGGAGGCGGAGCTTGCAGTGAGCCGAGATTGCGCCACTGCACTCCAGCCTGGGCGACAGAGCGAGACTCCGTCTCAAAAAAAAAAAAAAAAAAAAAAAAAAAAAAAAAAAAAAAAAAAAAAAAAAAAATTTATATGAAGTTCAAAGTCAGAGATACTCATCAACAGCCAGAGAAATGTGAATCATCGAATCATCGCTACCTTTGGGAGGGTGCTGCCTTCAAGGGAGCATGAAGGAGGCTTCTGGGGGATCAGAATACGATTTGATTGGGATGGTGTTGCACACACACACACACACACCATGCACGCAGGTGCTCGAGGGTATAAATTCATTGAGCTGCACACTTAAGATTACACCCTTTCCTGTAAGTTATTCCTGTTTTTTTTTCTTTGAGACAGTGTCTCACTCTGTCACCCAGGCTGGAGGGCAGTGGCGCAATCTTGGCTCACTGCAACCTCCGCCTCCGGGGTTTAAGTGATTCCCCTGCCTCAGCCTCCTGAGTAGCTGGGATTACAGGCATGTGCCACCATGCCCAGCTAATTTTTTTGTATTTTTTTTTTTGAGATGGAGTCTTGCTCTGTCACCAGGCTGGAGTGCAGTGGTGCAATGTTGGCTCATTGTAACCTCCGCCTCCCAGGTTCAAGCGATTCTCCTGCCTTAGCCTCCCGAGTAGCCAGGATTACAGGCACACGCCACCATGTCCAGCTAATTTTTGTTTTGTTTTGTTTTGTTTTTTTTGAGACGCAGTCTTGCTCTGTTACCAGGCTGGAGTGCAATGGCATGATCTCGGCTGACTGTAACTTCCGCCTCCTGGGTTCAAGCGATTCTACTGCCTCAGCCTCCTGAGTAGCTGGGATTACAGATGTGTGCCACCATGCTCAGCTAATTTTTTTGTACTTTTGGCACAAAAGGACCAGGCTGGTCTTGAACTCCCGACCTCAAGTGATCCATCTGCCTTGGCCTCCCAAAGTGCTGAGATTATGGGTGTGAGTCACCAGGCCCAACCAAGTTATTCCTAATGACAAAAAAATGTAAAGGAGCCCCAGACAAACCTCCTGTGTAGCCTAGAGCCCAGCTACCGTCCAGCCTGCCCCCAGCTACCCTTTACTTCGAGTTTGCCTCCTGAACAGCCCCACTATCATTTTATCACTAGTGGGAGAAGCTCCTGAATCTACCAGTGTCCCTACCCAGCGAGGAAGGCTCATCTGAGAAGGATCAGGCTGTGGGTGATGCAGCCGGCTACCCCGTTTTGCTCTCTCAAGTCTCCTCCAGCCTCTTGATCTCCCCCTTCAGCAGGCGCTGAGCCTCTGTGGTCTGGGGCCTCTCCAAGCTGGGCAGCTGGCCTCAATTAGGTTACTGATAATGCTGTCCAGCTCCAGTGAAAGCGAGGCCTGGGAAACCCAAACTCGGAGGCCTTTTTTTTTTTTTTTTTTTTTTAAATTTCCGTTAAAAAAAAAAAAATACAGACAGGCTCTCACTATGTTGGCCAGGTTTGTCTCCAACTCCTGGGCTCATGTGATCCTCCTTCCTTGGCCTCCCAAACTGCTGGGATTACAGGCGTGAGCCACCCTGCCCAGCCTTTGGAAGCCTTTTGTTAGGGAGTTACTTCCCAAAACCCTCCTGGGAACCCTGCCTAGGTGCTGGGAAAAAACAGGTGGTGGGTGGGACAGGGTGAGAGGGTGTGAGGGAAAAGGAGTGGGAAGGGAAGAGGAAAGAAGAGGGAAGGTGGGCAAGGGAGGAGGAAGGAGGAGGGAAAAGAGGAGCAGGGAGGCTCCCCACCCCTCCCCCAGCAGCACCATCTCCCAGGGCCAGCTTGGTGTCACCTGCTGCTCTCTAATGGGCAATTATTTTCTTGCTCCTAATTAACGCCGCATGTCCCCGTGTGCATGGAGGTGGAGGGGAATGGAAGAGGGAGCCAAGAGTTCTGCTTCCAGGTCCCCCTGCTCAGATGGACAGAGTTTTGCCAAGACAATTTCCCACGCCACCCCACGCCTCCCACTGTGCCCTGCAGCCACCTCCTTCTCCCACAGCAACACCAGGCCCCCAGCTCCCACACTGGTGCTCCGGCTCTGCTTCTCCCCTCATTAAAGGGACTTCAATTATTTCTGATTTGTCACTGTGTCATGAAAAACCCAGAGCGGACAGTGCCAAGCTGGGACCCAAGCTGGGGGCCGCAGTGACCACGGCAGCTGGACCCAAGGGGCTTCTGCACTGGGTGGGGGAGGGGACAACAGCCCCAGTCCCCAGAAGACATGGAGAGAGGTGAGCCGGTCTCAGGGAGAGGCTGGGAGAGAGAAACGAGGAGCACCTAGAGGGAGAGGCTCCCCCCACAGGCCCACTGGGAAAGATTAAGCCCTCTCCCAGCGCGGCATGACTGTCTGATGACCGTGACTCAATTCACACTGGATGCACGGGGCTTCCTCATCCCAACCTCGGCTCTTCTCAGATCTCGGCTGGGATGGGCTTGCTGCCTGGTCCTTCTTCCTCAGACCTGCCCCCAAGTCAGAAGCAGGAAGTCCTGTAGTTCCGGTCTAGTTCCCAACGCTGTACCCTCCACTCTGTACTTTGGCGAATCTATGAACCAGACCAACCAAAGAGAAAACGCATGGAAATACATGCTTATATACAAAAAATTAAACAACATCTCCTCTGCCTCCTAACACATGTCCTGAAAGAGCGGCTGGTCAGCTGATCCCGGGCAAGGGAAGCTGGAACAGGAAGCACACGTGTGGCCACCTGCCTGTTGACAGTAGCAATAACTAACATTTGCACAGCCTGTGGGAGCTTACTAAGATGTTTCAAGTACTGAGCTCATCAGCATCTGGTCTCCCCTGAGGGGCTGGCTGGATGGTGATGGTGGCGCTCACGCCCAGGCAAGGACACTGAAGTGCCTTGTTCATTTGCTCAGAGAGACAGTGCTGGATTCAGTACCAGGTGCCCATTCCCTTGTCCCCAACACCGCCCAATGGACACCTGGCCGGCTGCAGTCTTCTCCTTCCCAAGCAGCGATTGTGGCAGTTTCCGGTGTGCCAGGCACTGGCCGCAGGCTTCATAATCCATGAACTCATCAGTCCTTTTACCAACTCTTTGGAGTAGGAATCATCTCCAAATCCAATCCCCCTCATCTGTCAAAGGTGAGAAGACTCGGGCTGCAGGTCTAGGCTGATTTCCTTCCAGACACACAGCCACATCTGGCAGCCCAGAGCCGGGTGCCCGCCAGGGCCAGGGCGCCCTCATCCACAGCCCTGCCTTGGTGCTAACCTCTCATGACTCTGCTGACCGTAGGGTAGCCTCCCCACAAGGCTGGTGACACAGGCCAAGTGGCCTTTGTGAGGACTTGGGCTCAAGTTCACTGCAGGAAAAGGGGTGAGGATCAACTATCAGGAGGACTGGGGGCTTCCACAGCTCCTAAAGACCCCAGAAAGTGAGTGAGAGCCCCTACCTCCTGAGGAAGGTTCTGGAACACTGAATTTGCTCAGGAAATCCCAGCTCACCAGGTGACCTGCTCTTCACCATCTCTGCACTTCCAAGAACCCCCTTGCCTTTGAAATCCCATGCACCACCCACATCCCACGAGGCCAGCACCTGCCTGTTTCCAACCTTGCTTCGTCTCTGATGCACACGCACCAGCCCCCACCACACACACACATTGTACCACCAGCCAGCACTGTGCATTTGAACATGTGGGGCATGAGCTGAAGCCCTTTCTGCAGGCGTTTTGTTCAGTCTCCCCTGATCAGAGTCTGTGGAAGAGATCTCCTTCCTCTCCATCCCCCGACAGGGTACTGTCCTGACACACTGCTGAACCTCACAGCCACTCCATTAAACGATCTGCGTTATCAGCTCCTGTTATGTGGTATGAGCTCTCTGTACTAGGCATGATAAGTGGAATATCTCATCTAATTCTTGCAGATGAAGGGAGCAAGGCTCAGAGAGGTTAAGACACCTACCAGTGGTCACACATGGAAAGAACTGGGAATCCACCCCAGCCAACTGGAGGGCAGAGCCCCCACCTCAAACTGCGTGGTGTCTGCCACAGCTCTGAGCCCAGAGCCCAGCCGCGGAGAATCCCCAGGAATTCCTCCTGAAGACCTGCTGCCTTGGTTACCATGGTCACCCCACGCCTGGCACGGCACTTGCCCCAGTCAAGCTTGCTGAGAACTGGGATGACTGACGGTCCACCTGACTCTGTTAGTGACTGGTGCTCAGGAGGAAAGAAGACATCCAGGAGAGACCTGTGGTCACAACAGGGGAACTTACCAAAATAGGAGCCGCCTTAAATAACACCCAGAGCCAGACTTCCGGCCCTGGCCCACCACGCTCATCTCCTACTTAGCGATCTGGGTGGTGGGGAGGGGTGAGCAGGACCAGGAGCCAGTGGGCAGGGCCGGTGTCAGCTGCCCAGGAGCAGTGGCCGATGGGAAGGGACACCCTCTGGAACCATTTGATGCCCAGCACAAAGTGAGCCGGGGCTGGAATCCTGGGAGGAGGGGCAGAGGCTGGAAGTAGGTTCCTCTGGCTCAACTGCCACCTGTCCATGGGACTGAGGGGGCTGTGGGCAGGCCCAGGCTCCACCAGCCACAGCTGCTGGGCAGATAGGAACTGTCTCTGGGGCCAGTAGGTTGAGGGAGTCCCCTTATCATCCCTGCCCCACCAAGGGGTCTTCCTGACCAATGAGAAGTTTAGATTTCCTCCAGTGGAGAGGAGAAAACTATGGCTGGAGACCCTGGGTGTGGGATCTGGGGCACAGGGTGTGGGATGGGGACACACACACACACACACACACACAGAGCTGTCTCTGAAATCATATCCGCCTCTTTTCATGCATTCTCTGGGAGAGGAAGATTCCCTGGAGCTATCCCCAGGCAGTCACATTCTCAGGGAACACGGACTCCCACAGGCTAAGGTCCGGGGGAGGGAAGGCGGGTGTGCCCACTGATTGCCATCTTGCTCGCGACTGCCCACTGACCCCCAGGAAGGGGTCCTGATGCTCCCCTCCCTCTGGTAGGGCAGGCACCATCTGCCTGGGCCTGATGGCAGCCGGGTCGCCAGGGGTTATTATTAGACTCCCTGTCACTGGCACTTGGGCACCTCACACTGGATCAGGATTCCCTCCAAGAGGCCCTGCTTTGCTCCGACCTGTCCCGTATCTGGAGAACTTGACACAGAGAGAGGCCGCCGGGGGTCAAAGTCCTGAGATGGGCGCCTGGCTCTGAACAAATGGACCCCATCCTGGGCCACTGGCCCCAGAATCTTTGACCTAACACACGGAACTGATACAGGTGGGCCACTGGGGCCAGAGCAGGTGTGACCAGACCTGAGACAGGCTGGGAGATTCTGCAGCTTTGTTTGTCTGGGTAGGGAGGTCTGGGGGAGCCCTGGCCCTGTCTGTGGGGTGCAGAATCCCGCCAAGGGCCAGCAGAGTAGGGAAAGGGCGGGGAAGCCGGGAGTGGCTGCCCTAGGCCAGAAATTCAGGGCTTAGAAGGTGGGGTGGGGTGGGGAGAGGGGTGTGGGGGAACAGGAACGGGCCAGTCTAGGACCAGGGGACACAGAGAGGCTGTCAATGCAAGGGGGTCCTCAGGACGACAGTGTGAGATGGGCCGAGGGAGGCCACCTTCCTTCCCTGGAACAAGCACAAGCAGCTGTGGGTTCTCTGCGCTAGAGGGGAAGTGACCCACGCCGCTTCCCCCAGCCCTGCAGCCTTCCAGCTGGGACTCCCACCCTGCAGGCCAGGACTGGGGAGGAGGGGTGCTGCGGAGACCGACTCGGGAGACTACTCAGTTTCTGCCAAACTTTCCCAGGCCACTTAGCCTCGGAAAGAGAGCGCCCCATCTTGGAATCTCCAGAAGGTCGAAAACGCCGGGGCACCCCCTCAGCATCCCCGCACCTCGAGCGCCAGGATTACCCCGACACGAATGCCCCTATCCCTACCCCGCGCCAACCTGCCCGCTCGGCGTTCAGCCCCTGTCCCTGCAGGCGGTTTCGCGCCCCTCCTTCCCTTCCCCACGCCCGCTTCACTCTGATCTCTTCAGTCTTCTGGGCCCCCAGGTTCCCAGACAGGAGGGGACGCGGGCCACGGGCCTGGGAGGGTGGGGGAGAAGGGGAGAGGGGAGACGGGAAAGGGCTGCGCGGGGAGAGAAGGGGTCTGAGAGGCACGTGGGAAAGTGCAGGCTCTCGAGGGGAGAGGGGGTAGTGCGGGGACTTGGGGCGCGCGTGGCTGGGGTCTGGGGCGGCGCGAACTCACCTCCTGGTAACTCTCGTCGCCAGGGTTGAAGGTGCTGTTCACGGGCTGCAGGCGCAGGCCGAGGTGCGGAACGCTGTGCAGCCACACGACCCACCAGGGAGCGATGTAGTCCACGCGCGCCGCCTGCATGGCTCGGCCCGAGTGCGATCCACACGCTGAGCCGCAGCTGCGCTCAACTCCCGGCCCGGGCCCCGCGCCCGCCCCGCCCCCCGGCCCCGCCTCTCCCTGGGCCCGCGCCCCCCGCCCGCCGCGATTGCAGTCCCAGTTCTGGGCGGGGATCTGTCCTGGCCGGATAGAAGGAGGGACGTGAAAAAAGCTCCCAGAAGTCTCTAAATCGGTTTCAGTCTCGAGGTCCCCGAGCTGCTGCTTATTTATGATCAGATCAAGGGTATAAGGTGTCAGTGGGGGCAGCCAGCAGTCACAGGCCAGAGAGGGGCGACTGCCCGTCCCAAAGGTTTGTCACAGGGTAAGTAACCGACAGACTGGGAACGGAAGGAGGCAATCTTCAGCCACTCGGTCACTCATTCTAAATTCACTCTCAATCATTTTTTGGGCATCTATTGTGCAAGCCCTGTGGACTTAAAAAGAGAAATAAGACGCGGTCCCTGCCCTTGGGAGCTCCCGGCGCATCTGCCCCAACGACTCACTGAAGCTGCTTGCCGCGCGCCTGAGTGAGGACAGGGTGTCCTAAGGACTGAGAAAAATTGCTTGATTCTTCCTGGCAAATGGGACAGGATGAGCTTCCTGGAAGAGGGGGCCTTCGAGCTGTGTAGTGGGGAAGGTAGGAGAGTGATGAGAGCGCCCGGAAGGGACGAGCATTCGGGGAGACCGAAGCGCATGCAACAACACATTTGTTGAGCACCTACTAAGTGCCAGGCACTGTTACATCGGTGATGTAACAACAGCCGACAAAAACCCTCACCCCGAGCGCAGGCACTGCAGAGGGTGATGACAGTACCCGGGAAGATGCCGAACGCAGGCCAGGAGGGGCTCTGGGGAAAAGCAAAGGCAGGGGAGGTTGCCCATCGGGGAGCCTTGCGTCCCTGGGCCCTCAGTACTCTGCACACATACAGAGGCCCCCACCCATCCTGTAACCACAAACTGCTTGGCGTGACTGGCCAGCAGAGGGAGGAGCCCAGGCTGAAGGACAAGTAGGGGTCAGGGGTAGGTAGGGTGGAGTGATGGGGTCGAAGCAGATTGGGTGTAGAGACCGCACTGCGCAGCCAGCCTGAGGGGTGCATAGCGACCCCGGCAGAGATGTAGGTGAGAAAGGAGCCCCGGGAGGATGGGGGTGTGGCTCCTAGGGTTCTGGCTGAAGGAACCAGGTGGATGCTGGCAGGCTGAAAAGGCTGGTAAACACACGTGGCTGCTGGGGGGTGGGGCTCCAGTCACCCCGTGCTCAAGGGCCCTGTATCCATTAGAGGGAGTCCTGGCCTCGGGGCCTCTCCTCGTGGCCATGATCCCACAGTTCTGGGGCCCTGCAGGAGCCCAAAGCTGAGGGGCACGGGAAGTTGGAAAAAGCCGTTCTTCTCTCATTGGGGTGTCTTTCAACAAATTTTCTTGAGCATGTTCTGTTCTAGAAGCTAGAGGAATGGATGAAACACACATTCCCGCCTGCACGGCGTCTACAACCTAGTAGGTGAGGTGAGGTGGACTTGCATCCTGCAAACAGCGATTACAGCCCTTGCGAAATGCCAGAGTCCCTGCTGTAGGGAGGAGATGGAATGTGGGCATCGGGGTTGTTTCCCAAAGGACAGTGACATGAGCTGAAGGACAATCGGGAGTCAAAGAGGGAGGTGCTAGGGGAGGCCTCTGTGCAGAGGGAACAGGACCCTGTGAGATCAGGGACTAGGACCGGTGGAAGGGGAAGCAAGAAAGTTCCAGAACAGGAGAGGGGAGCCGGAGAACTGCAGAAGCCAGACGATCAGCTTGGAGACTGCGGCAGGGGAGGGAACTTCTTTGGGTGAAAACCTCATTTTAAAAGGTCTTGGTCTCTTGACTCAGTCCCTGCAGTTGCTGGGGAAAGTGGACTCTTCGGGTAGGGCTCTGGTAATGGCCTTTATAGCCCCTGCCCTCAGAGGCCCCCCAAGTGGGAAGGGCCTGCCTCCTAGGCAGTGGGTGGTCACAGAGGACTGACTTTGAACCCAGTACAGGGGAGCCCCAGGAGGCTGGAGGCCTGCCCATGGCACTGGAAGAAAAAAACTGCGAAGGCTCTTCCTCAGGGCTATTCCCACAGCCACCGGAATGCAGCCCGGACTATCCAAACCTGCTCAGCCCACCTGCCCCCAGCCAGACAGCGACCATTCTAGCTGCTTCCCCGGAGGCCTGCTGACCCAGAGAGGTGTCAAAAAGCTGAGGCAGAACAGGGACAGACCTCCCAGAGACTCAGCAGGGAGTTGCAGAAGTCAGCAAACCAGCAGCTGTAGTCCATCCCCGTCCCCCTCATTCACCTGTTACGCACCACTTAGGGGCTTGCTGAAGCCCCAGCAAGGCAGTGACCACCTGGGAGCTTGGAAACACACCTATGCCCCAGACCACTGCAATCACAACCTCCAGTCAGCCCTGGCCACGGGCCCCAGATGACTCTGAGTCACAAGCCAGGGCTGGGAGGCACTGTATGAAAGGCGGCCTTCTCTACACAAGGCTGGACACACCCCTTCATGGCCTGTCTCCTAGGAGCTGGGGCGAATCTCTGGAGGATGTGCTGGGAACAAAGAAAACCCACGTGGTAAACGCTCACTCTTCCTTGGGAATCTGAAATGTTTACAGAATGGGGAAGGCTGAAAGTTGCCCACAGTGCCACACCTGGGGCTGAGGGCCGATGTACCCACCCTCTCCCAGAGGAAACACGACCCCCAACCAGACAAAACCACCTCACCCCCTCACAATCCCTACAGATATTCAAAGACTGGCACTTACACCTCACAACCTGAGTGCGTTTAAATGCCTAACACAATACCAAGTGCACTGTACACCACACTTTAAAAGGCAGACTCAGTTCCAGTGGGGCTGTCTGCTGTGGCACAGCACCACCTGGTGGCCACCCCGACCCGCGCACCTCCCTCCACCGTGTCCCCCCACATCCCAGTACCCTTACAGCAAGCCAATGAAAGAGGTGTTAATGTGGCTGTTTTGCAACTGAGGAAACGGGCAAAAGTGTAGTCATTTCTTCCAGTCAGTCAAGTTAGCGAGTGGCAGATGTGCTACACCATGTTGCACCCATTTTGGGACCTGTTTGAACGGCATGCCCCACCGTCGCTCCCACATCTGCCAGTATGTTTAACCCCACGTGCTGTTTCCGTCACGGCCTCCCCACATCTCCTTATTTTCAAACTTGGGCTGAAAACAGATGGCCTCATTTGCCCACTGAGATCATGTTCAAGATGAGGGATGTGCTGGGCACGGAGGCTCACGCCTGTAATCCCAGCACTCTGGGAGGCTGAGGCGGGCAGTGAAACCCTGTCTCTACTAAAAACACAAAAATCAGCCTGGCGTGGTGATGCATGCCTACAATCCCAGCTACTCGGGAGGCTGAGGCAGGAGAATCGCTTGAACCCAGGAGGCGGAGGTGGTAGTGAGCTGAGATCGTGCCACTGTGCTCCAGCCTGGGCGGCAGAGCAAGACTCCGTCTCAAAAAAAGATCAGGATGCAGGGAGGCAGCAACAGGACCCGTGTCCTGTTCCCACCGGAAGCTACTACCAGGTAGCATATTTTCCTTTCCCATCCTCAAAGACGAAAGACACTTAGGATTTTTAGTATTTTAATACACTTCAAATCAGTGTGTCTGGTTCATTTCAGTTCCTTCACTGCCAAACCTAGAGGAAAAGAGACAAAAGTAAGCCATCCAGAAGACACATCTGAGTTGCTGCTGCTTGTCTAGATTTTGTACTTAAGCTAAAGAGAGCACACAAGGTTCAGAAATTAGATCCACCAGGGAAGTTTTGGTTTAGTGTCTGATAAAACGACTTGGTCTATTATATTCAATCTGTTCCCTGTAAAAAATGGGGATTATCGGTACCAGCACCAGCCTCGAAGGACATGAACAGCACTAAATGAGCTCTAACCTCTCTTCTGGCTAAGGAAAGGATTTCTGCTACTGTATATAATCTGAGAATCACAACTATTCCTCACACTCCCAAGAGCAAGAGCAGATTGTTAAGACCATAAAATGGGCTCTGAAATCTGGGAGGGATTCAAAACAAGATACAAGACGGCCACACACAGCAACCTCCCAAACCCCACCCGCCCCTGAAGTGACTTCAGGCTCACTCACCAGGGGGCAGGGACTGCTTCAGTTTCTCTGCCTTCTCTTTGTCAGTGATGACCAGGGTGTAAAGGTATCTGCTGCATCGAACTTTAAACTTCACATTGTCCTTATTTTTCTTGATCTTGACAGCTACCGGAGACCAGAATCAGGAATTAAATTGTATCACAAAAAACAAATGTGACACAGTCCACATGCAAATATACTCAAGCAGTCAGCAGCACGCAAGGGACAGTCAGCACCCACCTCCAGCACTGCCCCTCTGCACAAACAGAAAACACTATTACCCATTCCTGCAACTTCGAACTTTTATTGGGTACACTGAACACAGCATTGTAGAACATCCTCTATCAACCTTACTATCTTTCTTATCTCTACTTTTTTTTTTTTTGAGACAGTCTCGCTCTGTTGCCAGGCTGGAGTGCAATGGCGCAATCTGGCTCCCTGCAACTTCCGCCTCCCAGGTTCAAGCAATTCTCCTGCTTCAGCCTCCTGGAGTAGCCGGGATTACAGGGGTGCGCCACCACACCCAGCCAATTTTTTGCATTTTTAGTAGAGATGAGGCTTCACCATGTTGGCCAGGATGGTCTTGATCTCTTGACCTCGTGATCCGCCAGCCTTGGCCTCCCAAAATGCTGGGATTACAGGCGTGAGCCACCACGCCCGGCCTATTATCTTTTTTAAAAAGGATGGGAGCATCGATAAAGGAGATGGGCCGTCTGCTGGGACTGAGCGCTTTTCAACACTCCACTCCTGGAAATCACGTCTCCGCATCTGAGATGACGTTCTGGGCCAATAAGACAGAGCTTGTGCTTCAGGATGCCTCCAGCCACTGCACACAATGCGCACCCAGGCCTTTCCTTGAATTTATGTGGAATCCATTTTCTGGGTTCTTTCCTGCTGCCAAGTTCTATCTCAGGATCACAGCTCAGACCAGAAACAGCTCTAACATGTACCTCAAGTTCAGCTGCGTGGGGTC